TTCTCCACGAGCACAAAGATGTTGCTTTCATATAACTTAAAACATCCACCTCTTTTCTTTTTCTGTTCTCTTTGTTGCGTTTTGGGACGCGGGTAAAAAATGATGTGTACTCAACTAAATTTCCTTTCAAAAAGCACATTACTTAAAAACCGGTTGCCTTCGTTCTGGGTATTTAACAAGCACAAAATTGTTATGATAATAGAGATTTTCATAGCCATAATAGTGGAAATGTAATTCCGAGACTGCCTCTGAATTCTCATTACTCGAAAAGAACCAAAAGAACGGAAATAAACTAAGGAAAAGTGCATACTATTATACATTTTTGAAAATTTTATAGTTTATAAATGTACGGGATGATCTATATAAAAAAAATAACGTGGTTTCCGACAACTTTTTGACCTGGCCTCGTATAATAATTCCGAAGGCGGAATTGAATTCTACCGGAAATGTTATATAAGAGGCAGGTTTCACATGTTTAATAAGTTATCGAATAGTTCGAGGGGTGCCTGAAAATGAAATATGTTAATTAAAAGGGGTATGAGCCTTTTAACAGCATCTTTAGTTTCACTGTTGCAAAAACCGCAAGTACAGAAAATGGAATATTCTGTATATAACGCGAAGTTGGTTGACTTAGAAGGAAAATCAAGAAAAATGTTAATTCCACCCGTGGCTTCTCTCAGCGGTGAGAGAGAGCCAGCTAGAAGTGTAGAAGCAATGGTCTTGCAACTATGGTCCCTAAATAATAACCTGCAACTTACTATAGCCAAGTGTATACCATGAGTATAGCTTTGAATTATGACTATCATCCTTTTGATAAAACTCTATCCCGTTCTAACACGACTTCAGCAGTGGCTACCTATATTTAAGGGACGCCCTTTACGGCAAAAATTGTAACGGCGACGCTCCAAAAAAAAAGGATCTGCGTCAGCGTTATAATTTATTTCAACGATCACCTTTCGCAATCACGAAACTAAATGAAAATCGATGAAATAAGGGCAAGGGTAGCCGAAGGCCGGGGTCGGGTAAAATGCGACGCCTTACAACGTTTATTTCCGTAACTTTCGATGACATTTCGACCCTACACGGTGTACCAGGGAACTATCGATAATTTTCTAAATGTTCGCTTTTTACCCGACGGGTTTACTCGCTAGGGTTGAATTTTAAAGTGAGCGGAACGATCACGCAAGAATTGTCTCGACAAACGGGTTTGGGGGGGGGGGGGGGAGAAACGTGGACTTTTGTTTGTATTGCGTAGCCAACGAGGGGTAAATATCCGATGACGTTGGGTGGACTTGCCTGTGTTTGACGACGAAGACACGGGAATAATTTTTTGCCGCAAAGAGAGTAAAATATTTCCATTTTATCCTCCAGACTGTGCCGATCTCAATCTTTATATTGGTTTGTTTTAAATTGTATAAATTTGGGCACTTGTAAAAACAATATAATAATAATAATAATAACCTTTATTGTCTATAACTATAATAAGTAGCTAATCCATTATAATATTTCAAATTTACGTTTAATTAATGTTGCGAACTGTGAGCGACTAAGACAAAAAACGTCAATATCATTATAGAAGTCATTAAATAATTTCATTAACTGATAGATAACATCTTTAATCAAAAATTTGGTTCTTGGAGTTACTAGGTGAAATTCTGGTGACGCCCTTATAGTCCTTGAGGGAATATGGCAGTTCAGTTGGCTCGGCAACTCAGGGCAATCCACTAATATAAAAACTGAAGTGAAAGGTAAAGTCTGTTCTTAGATATAAGAAAGTGACTAACTGATACGAATTAAGGAAAGATCCGGGCAAGCTGTAAGAATGAAATATCGCCGAACAGGTCCGTACTTTGCTTAGAATTTAATTATTTGGGGTTTTGTTAGGAAAGATACTAAACAATATTTATTTATTTGTGTATGTATTTATGTTTAAATCTAAAATAAAATTACGTATTATTTTTATTACCTACTTAAATTACTTAAAATTATTCATATAATATATCAGTACCACTATCGCTATCATCGCATGTTCCAATTATTATTTGTTCTATATTATTTGCAATATGGATATACGATTGTTCTACTTTTTCTATATGTTTAACAGAATTTGCCCAACTTCGGTTTCTATAAGTTTGAGCACATTGGAGTTAAACACCGGAAAAAACATTGTTTCGACGAATGGCAGATTTCAGTTGCTGCCAAACATGTTCAATGGGATTAAAGATACAGTGGTAAAACTGTATGCCTTTGCACAAAATTTCCGAAAAATCGAAGAATGAAATCACCGTCCAAAATTATTATGCCAGATTATATATCATTTCACTGATTTCACGGATGTAACAAGCTTTTACGGATTTAAAATTTCTAACTGATGATGAATGCTACATCTAAGCAGAAACGTGTCAAATTATTGGTTATGACATTTTTAGTTGATTGACAACGAGACTCCAAATACGTATATTAAATGCATAGGCAAAGCCTCTAAACTGTTAATAGTTATATATAGTTTTATGTTTATATGTATATAGAAAATACAATTAAAATTAAAAAAATATATAAAAATTACATATAAAACATCTTTTCAAAAAGTGGGAAACAGTATTGTCGGTTTCAATGTTATATTAAAATCTAAATATAAAATATTATATTTTTTTATTATTTAATGGAAAGCGTTCAAAACTCTAATAAAACTTTAAAAATACGCGTTGATTTCATAAGGATTTCACGGATTTCGCAGATAAGCAAGTTTTCACAGATTTCACAGAACCGGTACACCAGATTTCACACGTGATTTATCCAGAGAGGCCAATCACCAACAACTATATGATTTCACAGATTTCACGAGGATAATCGGGGTTTTACTGTAGGAACAACGTTTTTAGCAACAAAAGGTTGGAAATAACCACGTTTTGGCAACTACTAATAAACGTCTTCGGGATTATCTGTCCGAAACGTTTAAAGACAACGGAAGTTCGAGCTGCTTTTTACCTTCCTCAATTTAAACTTATGTTTTTTTTATTATTTTTCAGAATGTGAAAAAATCTGAACGTTTTAATCAACGACAGACAATTTAATTTCGTATTTCGCCACACATATAATGGAATTTTCCGATGTTTTTCCACTCCCAAGCCCTTTCCGTCGAGCGGATATGGAAGACAAATGAACCGCGCAGGTGTGTCCATCGCGTGATAAATGCCGGCGAGATATTCACCTTTTTTTCAACACAAAAAATCCTATCGGATTGTAAAAAAAATAGCCGCCCTTTGCCGTTACGTCCCAGAGGTAAATCTCTCGCTTTAATAATTTAACCTTGCGTCACATACGGGGTGCGCTCCAAAAGAAGTTCTTATTGGCAATTCGCAATAGCACGCACTTTTTATTTTTCTGTGAGGATTCGGCTTGCTACTGTAGATCGTTAAATTTTATATTTGAAGCTTAAATACTTGAATATTGTTTTAGATTGTACCCTCAGTCTAGAAGACAAAAATGGCACTCCAACTTTGAAACATTTCACACTTGAGGCCTTAAAGGTAGTACCTTGGGTCATTTAAATTGTCCTATTTATCTATAGAATTCATAAACTCATAGAACCAATATATCACAAGTATTTTTAATGTTTAGATTAATAACTTCGTATGCTAAACTTAAAATCCTACATAGTAACCTATGAGCAAAGGAGTTAAAAAGGTGTGTGTGAGTTTATTTTTATCTCAGCTTGCAAATTGTTATGTAGGATAGCAGCAGCTTTTAAAAGATTCAGAACTCATGTCTATGGTTTAGTTACAATATTCCCAGATACGACCATTTTTTGTTGTTGTTGAATTATGATGAATTGATTAAATCTTGCTCCGACCGCTAATGAGAGATCTTTTAGCTACAATGAAGATAATAGTATCCAAGAAGCTTCAAATGCGTGCGTTTAGTTTTAAATAAAACTTAATCATAAGGTGTGGGTTGAACAATTCCACAGTACAGCTGAGTTGTTTCTGCAACGTTATTGTATTCATAAAAAATGGGAAATCTATATACTAAACATCAAAATATTATGATTGAGCTATACATACCTCATACATACAGGGCGTTCAAAGTTTTAATTTTTTTCTCAATTTTCTCATTAATTAAGAAAATCTGCATAGTATAACAATGGATATTGGCCGTTTTAGTTTTTATTACAAAGTTTGATGAGACCGTCAAACTGTCGGTTTTTCACTTGTTCGCATTTCAAAAATTCGGGTTTAATTTCTGAGCAATAAAACAAAGAAAGTTTGGTAATATGTAGTACGCTGTGTTAAACGCCTTGGAATGTTAAACATAACTTCTCTATTATTTCTAAGGGTAATGAGTCTGAGGGTTTAGATCTGGATTCTTTGGTGCGCAAACAAATTCACTCTCACGGACAATTTTCCTTTAAGGCGAGTGATACATCGTCTCGGAGTAATTTAAATAAATGATGCCGAAGGAAGTTTATATGACTTGCCTTAACAGAATTCTGAGAATTCCACAAATGATTATTTCTCCAACTATAGATTCCTCATCTTGTGCTTGAAGTCTTGTGGGAAGAAAGATTTTTATTAGCAAAATTTGGGTTTTCGGTTTTCGTATTTTGTAAAAATTAAGCAAACTAGTAAATCTTGAGGCAATAAGTGCTAACGCTGAGTATAATGATTGGAGTTTTCTTTAAATTACTCAAACCTGCTTTTTCCAAAACACGAACTAAAATTTTGGCTTCCTAATCGAGATTCAAGCTGTTAAGGTTTTTACATCACTTTCGAGCATCAGATGGCATCTTGATAAACAAACATTTTTTGAAATTCCATTCTGTTATCGAAACTCGACCAATGCGTCTCTAAAATATTCATATATATGACGTCCCACCCACAACTAAGTGTATATAATTTTTTTTTTGCTTATGGTTAATGTGTGCTCCCCTGTAAACTATCCATATACCGATCACCCGATCTGAACTGACGTCAGGGCGTCTGCGTGGCGGCCCCGCCGCCCCTTGGCTCAATTCCTCGTCGAACGTCAACCCCCGCGGCACACACGGCATCCTTCCTCGAAAACTACCCCATCGGCAGCGACCGCGTGGGCCCCTTTAGTTCGCATTTATCTTTACCCGCGCGCGTCGTGTTCAAAAAATTTCGCCATTTTTCGAAAATCTCGAGTGCCGGATTCAATAAGCCGGCCGCAGTTTAAGTGAGCCGAATCCAAGATGGCGGCCGATAGAGGGTCGGCGATATCGGACAATGGGGTAGGCCAGTGAACCAGATACGTTGTTGACTACATGCAGCCATACCGCATGAACGCGTGTCCGAATTTGAGACTCATCGAGGGTGAGTTACGAGTCGATAACGTCCACCGGCACAGAAGAGTTAGTTAATCTTTTAATTAAATTTGGAGCATTTGTTTATTAATTATAGCTCCGTGCTAACTATACTTAATATTTTGATTCGAAATGTTTCCACCAAAATCCTCGCGAAATCGATTTGGTCCGGTTAATTTAATAACCATTGTTCAGACCGTCACGTTGCAATTAATGGGATCAGAGGACTTAGAAATTGCGCCGTTGGAAAAGTTCTCCACGGGGAATACTTACATGCGCTTAAAACGTCAGTAAATTTATATATTTCTCTGACTACGAAAATCCGGATTTTCATTGGTGTTGCTCCGGTCTGAACGTATTGATAAAAATAATGTTATCTCTATTTCCCAGAAAATTATATTTTCGCATTTTGCCTCTTCCCGCTATGAAGTTCCTTCTTTCCGCAGCCTTTTCAATTAATTTTAATCAATTCCGAAACTTCAAGGTCGTCGAAAGATTCCAGCGTTTTCTTATAATCCGTAGGCATTTGTGCAGTATTTTATTTTTTGAACTTTGGCGTAGAAATATTTGTGCATTTGGGAGATGATATTTTTGCTGCTCTACCCATGCTAAATATACGAATCAGCTTCAATCACGTGCAATGGAAATTACTAAAACTGCTGTTTTTTAAAGTAAGACTAATGGCTTTTAATAATCACAGATATTGAGATGCTTTTGGAAAGAATTTAGTTCACAGGTGTACAAAATTAAATTTTTTGACAAATGTTTTTATTTTAAGATTTTATATAATTTTGGTAGGTTGTTTTCAAACATACAATGCTTTTATTTGTATCACGTAAAGTTTTTTTTTGCAAATATTAAAGGAAAAAAAAAACGATATTTCTAAAACATTTTTTTTATTCAGTAAGAAAGTGGAATCCTAGTTACTCAGATTTTTTTGAGTCTGCTTTGGTATCGCCGTTACATTTCCTTAATGTCCTGGTGAAACCTCTCTCCGGGTTCTTGGCTATCTGCTGATTTTCAGGAAAATAGTTCGCTTGAAAACACACTTTCAAACTCATATTACAACCTAGATGATGAACAATACTTTCGTAGTTTTCGTTCTTGGGGTTCTCAAGAAACTTATTCATTTCTTCTTTAAATGAAACCCCGTTTTTCTAGGGCCCCAACAAAAATACCTTGGTTTATCTTGGTATCAGATATGGCTGGAAATTTCTCGCATAAATATTTGAAACACTGTTCATTTTTGTCTAGGGCATTAACGAACTGCTTCAAGTCAAGCTATCTCTTAGTGCATTTTTGCTACCAAGTGTAAGACTTGTTTTAAAGGACCATTTTATTTGAGTCCAATGTCCGACTATATCATTCACAAATAAAGCATTGAAACTGTTGTCCTAGTAGCATGCAGAGCACTTTAAGGTCTGCACAAAACATCCACTGATGTTCCTGGTAGTTTAATTTCTTCAAAAGAAGTCCTAAATTTTCATACGTTTTTTTTTTAATGTACCGACTGTGCAACTGGAGCAGCAATAAAATGCCTTTTAAACTACTCTTACGCTTATATACGGCACATTTCCTAATTTTCAAAATAAGTCAGAAATATTGTTGCAATTCACTAGCGGCCCCGTTCCTGTATAAAATATTCACATAACTTTTTTTCGCGATCCCGGTATTTTTTCTGTTGAATGTTTGACCATTACATGAACAAAAAACAATCATCACTGTGCTAGGCTCTCCACATACCAATGGAACACCAAATCTTAAACATTTCTTCCTACCTTTTTGCCAGTTTCTAAATGTTTCAATTTTTACACCAAAATAAGCGTGGTATATATTTTTCTCAAAAGAAGTTATAGTTTGCCTTTGCTTTACTACTACAGAACTACCAAAGCGCACATCGTCTTCTTTCCACATTTGTACGTTCTAGAACACTAAAAATATGCAACAACGAACACAGTCGCGAATATATATATATAATATATATATATATATATATATATATATATATATATATATATATATATATATATATATATATATATATATATATATATATATATATATATATATATATATATATATATATATATATATATATTCTCACGTATTGATTCACGGATGGAAAAATGTGATGACACTATATTCCGGGATATCATCCGTTCGCTCGTTGAACTCCGACTGGAATCCTGCAAATCTTGCATCCGACTGGAATCCTGCAGACGTTTCGCCAAAATCTCACTTGGCATCTTCAATGCTCGCGCTCCGAAAACACTTCGAACATATATATATATATATATATATATATATATATATATATATATATATATATATATATATATATATATATATATATATATATATATATATATATATTTATATAATCAAATATCAAAATTACTGGGGACCTGTTATCCGTGGCCTTTCTAGGCAAAATTTTGAATTCACAGCGGCAGTTTCACTTACATGGTCCTGCAACGTCAACGTTAAAATACCATGACTAAAATTCATTGAAAACATCCGATCGCTCCCAAGCCCGTGACTAAATACCGGAAAGTTCCGAAGTGGTTCGAGACCGTGGGTAACGATGCTGCCGTCTTTAAGTGTTGGAATTTAGTAGGGAGTAGAAAAAATAATTTAAGCTCCGAATTAACGTAAAGTGTGGCATAAGTCAAATGGATGTTACCTCTTAGACAATAAAAGGTTATTATTGCTAATGAGAGTGATAGTATTTTCAAAGGTCATATGTCAACAATGTTAATTGTGATAACGCGAAGCAAGCCTGGTTTATGTTTAGGACACTTTGAATCGACTGAGTAAAGAGCAACGTTTAGTTATCGTATCGTATATTATGAAAGTGGGCGATCGGTTAGAACAATTTATCGTGCTTTTCGAGAAGATGTTTTCAAATATCAGCGACCAAGTTTGAACAAGATTATACTTTGAACTTATGCTAACTTTGCAAAGAAGGTTTACCGAATAGGCACTTTTTCATTTAGAAGAAGATGCTGATTTTGGCAAACCATCTTTTCAGATGAGGCCCGTTTTGTGAATTTGCATAATTGCCGGTTCTGGTATGAGAAGACTCCCCAGCGTCTACTGGGAGGCCATTATATCCCGTGAAAGTTACTGGATGGGGTGGAAATAACGCTCCTTACTTTTTGAGGAAGCAGATGGGCACACTGTGACCGTGAATGTAGAGCGCTATCGCAAGATGATAAGAGATTTTCTTTGGCCTGCGATAGATGATGGAGACATGGAAGAGAAGTAAAACCTTTTGGCCGTGTTTATTTGTCTGAACAATTGCTAACCTGATGATCCAGTGAGACGACATCGACAACTATTTATAATGATAAACCTGCCTGGATTTATATGTGAAAAATAAAGGAAAATTGAACAAGATACATGGCTAAGTCTATCTATCTAATTACCGAGCAACCAAATAATTTCAAACAGATGTCAACAGAGAAATAATAGAAAAAAAACATGTATTAACAATAAAACGGAAAGTATGCTTATTAAAAAAAGGTAAAAACAAAAAATAACTAATCTTAAGTAAATGAGCAATTATTAAATCTAACTCTTAAGTGATTTTTTTTCTGTGAATGTGCTCAAGTTTAAGCTATTTCTCTGTCCAAAGCTGATCTTCGTACAATCAATATCTGTCAACAAAAGAGCCTTCAATAAGTTTATCAAATCAAAAACTGTTGTGAAAACTTGATTTTGAGAATAATGGCAAATTACAATGACAAAAATGATATAAAACTTAAGGTCGAAATGTCACTTGCTTAACAAAAGGCACCCCAAAGTCATTCATAAATATATTTATGCCAGGGATTAAACCTTAACTGAAAGATGCTCTAAGTAAGTATGAAAATCCTGTCCAATTATCAGGAAGGATAATAATGGGCTTAAGTTGCTGTCTCGAAGAATTTCCAAACAATATCAAATAAAGAGGAACAAGCATTTCGAAGTACGAGTGTTGAAATGCTGAAGCCGAAGGAACTTTTAAAGAAGGATGATGCAACTTACCGTCATTAACCTATCATCAGACACTTTAATTGTTCCGTCTGGTTTAACCCGAACTTCATTTTGTCGAAGGAATTATACAATTCTGCAAACTGACAAATCTATAATAGAGTTCAGTAGAGTTATCACTCTTATCTACTGGTATGATCGGTTTACACCAGCTTCATCAGAATCTCCATATAATATCAACTATTTTTTCGTTTCTGTGGTTCTCTGGAATGTGACTCAAATTTGGTGATGATATAACTGTCATGTTGTAACACAAAATCTTCCTCGAACTAAAAGGATAGCTGTTAAAATAATAACACAGTTACATCATTCAAAGGGTCAATAGCTAGAATGAAAATAATAATAAAAATAAGCATCACTTTACAACGTCAGTTTCGTTTCCCACGAATCCGAGCCACTTCGGACATTTCCAAAATTTTACCGGACGGGTTTGGAAGCAATCGGGTGTTTTCGGAGATATTTCCTACGCTTTGAATTTGGACGTTTGTCAATTCTGACGGTCATCTCAGTGAATGTATTCGTGTTGTTTTACGAAAATGTACCCAAAAACTAACGGTCGTAGAAAGTAGTATATTATGCAATAAGTGCAGTAAACGGCATTTGACTCACGAGTTTATTTGGCACGAATGGAGCGCAGTGGAGCGATTTTTTAATAAACGAGTGAATTAAAAAATTTACCGAACCTGTTGCATACTATACTTTTTCTATGACCGTTAGTTTTTGGGTACATTTTCCCAAAACAACACGAATACATTCACTGACATGACCGTCAGAATTGACAAATGTCAAAATTCAAAGCGTGGGAAATATCTCCAAAATCATCCGATTGCTCCCAAATCCGTGCGGTAAAATCTCGTGACGTGGTAAAGTGATGTTTCCCGCACGCTAGATCGGTGGGTAATTAGGTATTTTACAGACGGGAGTAGAAAAACGGCATAAAAAAGAGTGATTTAAAAAGTTTACCGAACGTGTTGCATACTATACTTTTTCTACGACCGTTAGTTATTTTCGCAAAATAACACGAATACAAACACAAAATTCAAAGCGTGGGAAATATATCCGAAAACATCCGATCGCTCCCAAATCCGTGCGGTAAAATCCCGGAAATGTCCGAAGTGGCTCGGATCCGTGGGAAACGAAACTGACGTTGTAAAGTGACGCTTTCCGCACGCTAGATCGGTGAGTAATTAGGTATTTTACAGACGGGAGTAGAAAAAACTATTGTATGCAACATATTCGGTAAACTTTTTAAGTAACTCTTTTATTTAACTTGTGAGTCAAATGCCCTGTACCGCACTTGTTGCACAATACACTATTGAAAATTCCGAATATCTGCTTAAACAATTCAAAACTGAAAAAAACATTACATTTTTTTCTGTTTTTTTTTTTTTAATTGATCTATCTCTAGGAACTACATCGACCTTTACGTTTGAAATCGGACGTTTCATATGCCAGGTTCCATGGCAATTTTTTTTCATTTTCTTTCAGAAATGGTTGCGTTGGTTTTCCTCACAGACAACTTTCCGATTTAACGCGCTCCCCATTCGAACCTTCGCGGGAAAGTTACCTCGAGAACTCCGCGAGCGCAGGCCTAAAGTATGGGAGATAACAAGCAACACAACATCTACTTCGCCCAGCTGCGGGCGATGTTGAAGCGGAACCTCTTACTGAAGAGAAGAGAGAAACGGAGAACGCTGGCAGTAAGTTTACAAACAAACATCTATATAGCCGAAGTTTCGTAGCTTTCGGGTCCCGGGTTGTTCGCTTTCTTTTAAATATTTGCTATTCAAATGTCTGCGGTTTCAATAGGATTTTAAATTGCGGAACGGAATGGGATTTGTTTCCGTATGAACACGTTTGTTTGCACACGTTCCGAATTAATTTCCGCAGAACAGTGAGCAACGAACGACCTAGTTCTGACAAAGAGCATGGATTGGCGTGGAACTGCCGATTATAAATGGGCTTTGTTTCAATTCATTACCATCTTTTGTGTGCTTTAGAATTTTTTATGCGGATCTAACGATGTCTATGCCCCTATATTCACCACTTTTAAAGAGGGATTTTAACTGGAACTCCCTGGATATTACATTTTCAGATAACAGCCGCAAAAAGTAATCTAGGTTCGTATCTCTGATTAAACTTCACAGCTTCGATAGTAGCTGCCTTGCTGCATTGCTGTTTGATTACCTCCAGCAGATGGAAAGGCACTCCTTCAAGTTGTAAAGAACCTGTGTGGTTGTTTTCTCCTCTTCTTGCTTTACATTCACTCCCATCAAACTTTAGCCGGCAGTGGATTGTCGGTAGACCTACCATTATTCTTAGAGCGATGCTTTCACAGCTAAGCTGGTCTATTGTAAATTTGTCTGATAGCATTCCTTGCCATGTCTTTGTGCTGGCAAATTGCTATATTACGAATTCTTTTCGTCTTTACTTCTCTTGCACGGTGTTTTAGTGTGGTTATCTCTGCAGTTCTCGCTAGCTTTAAGCTTTAAGCAGTCCCTAGCGAGCCATTTTTTCAGTCTTCTCTGGCTGGGATTTGAGCCCTATAATTTTTGACAAAGCGGTACATATTTGTGTGCGGTCAAACATAGACTTTAGAAACATAGCCTTACTTTAGAAAATGTTTTTTATTCGGTAAAAAATATCTATGGATAAAAAATAAAAATTACATTTTTGGTGATGATAATAAATTCTGTATACTTTGTTGTACTTAATCATATAGCAACCAACTTAACTATAATTTAACCTGATTTTAAGCAAGTGTATTTATTTGGTTTCCGAACATACCAGTTCTTTTTGGAAATTTCCAATCCAAATGGCAAAACTCCCATCCCAGGTGCTTGAATTATCAAATATTTTTAAATCACTATAAACAGGGGAGATATTTTGACTGCTTAATAAACACCTTGTATCTCATGGGGATTTTTTCATATAAATATCTTGCAGATATTTATATGAAATTTTTGTGTTGGAAATTAAAAAATGAATCATTACTCAGCTTTAAGTCATATACTCTGTAGAGAATGTTTGGTCAAAAGAGTGAAAGTTTGTAAAATAATTTTTTTTATTTTTATTGGTTTTTCAGAATTTTCGAAAAATTGATTTTAAATTCCAAAATAGCTAAGATGAAAGGTAGTATCATCTTATATAAAAATGTTGCAACATTTTTTAGAGTCTTCAGGTGTAATAACACAGCAGCGCATTCTATAAAAAAATATCATTTAGGGTAGATATGCTGTTGAGTAGGTTTAGATAGGTCTACGGTCATAACCCAATTCTTAAATAGCCACCCGCTTTTGACTTCCCCATCGAGTTGGGGGAATCCTGCATAGAGTCGTAAATTTAGTTAAAGGTCAGCCGAAGACCCGGTTGAGGACCAATAATCACGCAATATTTCGAGTCCTTTGCAGTAAAAATGAAGGTCAACAACGTTAGACGAAGTCCTTGAATTTATTGCGTAACAAATGCTACTGACTTGGCTGCGAATGAGAAATAATCCAAACTAAAATATTTCTGCACCGGCAAATGAGAGTTTTAATTTTGATTTAGAGTTTAGAATAATGGCACAATTTATTAAGTTAACTTTGGGAATGTCAACACTGATGTCAAAATCTTTGCAGGAAGTACTATTACCCATCTATTCATTGGCAGTTCTGATTCTGATGAAAATGGTGATGCCCAATCCGAATTTTCCGGAGATGAACCAGCCCAGAGGCGAAGCAGAGTTGCTCTCACATTTTAGAAACCTGAGCCACACAGTCGCTGTAGTCCCGAATTCAACCGAAGTTCAGGTCTGTATGTCTACTATTGTTTTGATACGGCTCCAAAAATCTGACAGACCCTCGCCAACCGATTTATCAAACGATGTTAGTGACCCAGTTCTTAGTAATTTATTGGTCGACTGCACGGTCCGCAACATTTAGATGGAGCTGATGCGAGAGGTTTTTTTTCGTGAACTGATGTCCGGGCTAACGTATTGATTTTGTTCAATAATTCGAGTTACATGAAACTGTGACGTAATTATAAGCAACGTCGATAATTCGAGCTGAAATCGAATATTCAAGTAACTTAGTTTTTGTATTTTTTCGGAATTTCAATGTAAATAAGTTCGTTTATGCATTGATGAAGAACTGCGAGTCATAACTATCCGAGTTGTGACCCTTACAACCGTATTTTCAATTTTTAGGATTTTTTGAAAACTGTAGACGTACTATGGGATAACATGAACAAAAACCAAAAAGTTTCGCCAATATCCTGGATTCTATATTCTACCATGGATGACCTCTTGACCGCCTATTGGCTAAAACCGAGCGATATTCCAATCGCGGTCATATTTCAGTACCCGGACCCCATCGATGGACCTTTAAAGTAAACGGAATTAAAGCTGACCTTCGCTAGAAGACAAAAACAAATTCTTTTAGCTATGAAATTCGAACGAACCCTTCATTATACGGCACACCATCCACTACGATACTCTATGGGTCACCCGCGTCATGCAGAGAAAGCAATTCGTTTTGGTCTAACGTAGCCGGGGTGCCAACGCCGGTACTACCTGAAGCCATCGAAGTGGGCGATAGCTGTCCGGTCAATCAGTACTATTATTCGGGTTTCCTTGCCCTACAGGCGTTGTTGGATTTTACGAAAATTAGGGTAATACTCATATACGCAGATTTTAGGAGATATAATTGATATATAATTTTCAGTTAGATACTGGCCTAGAAACGTTACAAGTGCCTCAAATTTTACTCGAGATGTTTCCAAAAGCGGCCCATACAGGTAATTGGATGGTTCTGGTGAGGGTGCTGATACCCCTTTACATGGTCATCTCTTTATCACAGTTCATTACGTATTTACTGATACTAATCGTTGGCGAGAAGGAGAGCAAGATCAAAGAGGGGATGAAGATTATGGGGCTATATGATTCGGTATTTTGGTGCGTAGCTGGCGCACCAAGTGGATACAGGGTGTTAATTTTTCCGTTGCAGGTTGTCTTGGTTTATTATCTACGCCATATTCGTGCTGTTTTTGACAATAATCTGTTGTACGCTACTGTTTGCTTTAAAAGTATTCCAGAACACGAATTTCGCTTTGATTTTCGTGCTGGTATTTCTATACTGTCTCACAATTATAATGTTCGGATTTATGGTAACACCATTCTTTGATAAATCAAGGGTAAGACGTATGATAAACGAATACACTTTTTCATAATAACGATAATTTTAGACCGCAGGAATTTTGGGGAATTTTGCCGTTACAATCTTAAGTTTGTTGTATTTTATCCAAGTGTTCGTCAGAGATTCGAATTCGGTAGCATTATGGATAGTGTCTTTGATAAGCCCCGCAGGATTCGCTTTAGCAATGGACAAGGCTTTGCTTATGGACTTGGCAGGAGAGGGTGTCAACCTTGAGAACATATGGTCGGGGCCAGACATGCCTTTCGGCGGCAGTCTTATAATGATGGCGCTGGATATAGTTCTGTACGGTCTATTAGCGTATTATTTAGATAGCGTAGTGCCTAGTGAACATGGCATAAAAAGGTCGCTGTGTTTTTGTTTTAAGCCATCCTTTTGGTGCAACAAAAAGTCGCAAGAAAAGGTGAGCTATAGATTTCAATTTTTTTCTCTTTTGAATATTATTTATCGCAACCATTTGAAATTCTATAATCTGCGACATGCGATCCTGTAGTCGCAAAGCGTTTGCGTACTCCTCTAGCTATAAAGGCAATAATGAACCAAATATGTATAACTAGATCCCGCTAACTAACGGAGGCTCAGTCGGTTCAGTCGGTTCACTTAACACTCAAGAAGAGGGAAACGGAGATTTCGAACCGGTTCCTAGAGAAATGAAAGGTCGTGAAGCTATAAAAATCGTCGACCTATACAAATCCTTTTACGTAAGCGAAATTTGTTTTTTCGGTAGAATACGAGGGCAGCGTCAAAATTTCCCGGCCTGAATATGAAAGAAACAAAGTAGAGTAACAATTTTTTATTATTTTTCAATATAATCCCCCTTAACCTCAATACACTTATTACATCTCTTTATTAACAATTCAATCCCTTTAAAAATATATTCTTTTGTTTTGTCTGCAAAATGAGCTAAAATAGCCTCTTTTAACTCAACTTCGCCGTTAAACCGCCGTCCACGTAAGTCCTTTTTCAAATATCCAAACAAATAATTGCCGGTGGGGGCCATATCTGGACTATAGGGAGGATTATCAATCTGTTGGAACCCACACTCACCCACGCAGCTTGTGCAACACCAGCAGTATGGACAGGTGCATTATCGTGCAAAAGACGCACGCCTCTGGTCAGTTTTCCTCGACGTTTTACATGTATGCAGTCTCTCAATTTATGTAATAATGTTGCGTACTATTTATCATTGAGAGTGGTATTAGTTTTTTTGAAATCTTTCAAAAGAATTCATAGTCATAGTTTCATCTCCCGTCACAATAGTTTCTATCACAGGCTTCGGTTCCGACCCATACAGTTCCAGAAAAGACCTCGCACACTCGACACGCCGTTGTTTTTGAATGGTAGAAATGTTTTTACTAACCCATCTTGCTTTAACCTTATGCATACCTAAATGATCATGCAGGATTCAACGAACACTTGTATCAGAAAGCTTAGTAATTTCTGAGATTTCCTTGACCTTTAAACGTCCATCACTCAGTATCACCTCTTCCACAATCGCAACAATATCTTCCGTTATGACCTCCGCTGGTCGACCAGTTCTTGAATCATCTTCAAGGGACTCCTGAACCATTCGAAAACGTTTTGCCCATTCTTTCACTACAGAATACGAAGGAGAACTTTGGCCGTACACACCATCTAGCCTTTCTTTAATAATTTTAGGTGCTAACCCTTCTCTTGTCAAAAACTGTATGACTGCTCTATACTCTATACTGCGACATTTTTTCGAACACGTCTTGTTTAAAATGCTGTCAAAAAAAATCTGACGCAAGACTTCATTTTTTTTTCGCAGTCTACTAAGATATATATTTAAAAGAAAGACAAAGTTTTATCCTGATACTGGAGATGCATCTATGTCAGGCCGGGAAATTTTGGCGCTAACCTCGTATCTGAACAATGAATTTTTAGAACTGCCGCAAACCCGAAATCAAAGCAACGAACGGTATCAATTTAACCATATACGAAGGACACATCACAGCAATATTGGGTCATAACGGTGCTGGGAAAACGACCCTGTTTAATATTTTAACTGGTCTTACGGCACCTACGGCTGGTACTGCTTACATATTTGGCTACGACGTCAGAGACCCCAATGATATGGATCAGATACGAAGGATGACGGGGGTTTGTCCCCAACACGACATTTTGTTCGACAATCTGAGTCCCAAAGAGCACCTCGAGTTTTTCGCAACAGTCAAGGGCATTCCATCGAACGACATTGATTACGAAGTACGAAAGACACTCAGGGACATTGACTTGTTAGATAAAGCAAACTCCGCTGCTAAACATCTAAGCGGGGGACAAAAGAGGAAGTTGTCTGTCGGGATTGCAGTTATTGGTGACCCTAAGGTACTACGCTCCCTAATGTAGTGAAACAACGTTTACTAAGACTTTATTCTAGATAATCATCTTGGATGAACCTACAGCCGGCGTAGACCCTTATTCCAGAAGACACATGTGGAACGTCTTGCAGAATAGAAGACACGGCAAAGTTATTCTGCTCACCACCCATTTTATGGACGAGGCTGACATTCTAGCAGATAGGAAAGCCGTGGTTTCGAAAGGAAGCATTAGATGCTGCGGCAGCTCGTTATTTCTCAAAAACAAGTTCGGTATTGGTTACCATTTAACGCTGGTATTGGAAGGCACGTCAAAGGAACAAGCAATAGCGAGGCTGGTGACTACACACGTACCCAAAGCGGAAAAAGCAAGACGACACGGGAGAGAACTGAGTTTTATTTTGCCACACAATGCAGTCGACAATTTTGCATCATTGTTCTCGGCAATCGAGCAAGAGATCAAGAACAAGCTCAGCAAGCTGGGTGAGTTCTAAGTACAATTTTATGGATGGTGGTCAAATGTGTTCTTGCCTTAAAACCCCACCCATTGGCAGGTATATCCAGTTATGGCGTTTCAATGACGACCTTAGAAGAAGTGTTCCTACACCTGGAGAAGGACGAAGAGCCGGACTGCAATGTGGAGAATTTATCCAAGAAAATCGTACGAAACAGAGCTCTCAGTAGAAGTTTGAGCCTGCAAAGCAAGAGTACTAGCTATCAAAGTCTCCAGAATGAAGCCAATAATCTGTTGAACAACCAGGACCACAAGGCGGGAGGGGATTCGACTCAGCTGGGAGGGCTGGAAATAATTTCGGAGACCAAATCTCCCATCACGGGTATCGGTCTAGAGAAGATCGAGTGTAAACCCAACATACCGCAGACGCTGTTCGCTCTGATCAAGTTGAGAAGCTTGAGGATGATCCGGGACCTTCAAAAGCTTTATTTCATGATAGTGCTGCCCGTTATTATAGCCGCGTTAAGTTTATACTTTAACAGCTATTTTGAAAGCGGCGAGTTGCCGAGTCTGTCGTTGGAGCTGAACGGTACCACATACGGAGAGATGAGTACTGTAGCTATACACAACAGCAGCGACCGCGATATAGATAATTTCATAGGTATGGTTCGGCTTTTGGTAAGTTTCGTTTGTTAATTATAATTTCCAGATCAATTGGTGAGTCTCGGGATCAAAGAGGTGGATAGCTACGACGGTAATTTTTCTTCGTTGCTCGATTTGGCGCCGCATATGGCGGCTTTCAATATAAACTCCTTCGGAGATCCGGACTACAGCTTCACTTTAATGTATAATGATACGTATCAGCATAGTTTGCCGATCACTTTGAACATAATCAGCAACTCGCTCTACAGGTAATTTTCTATCCTCGGGTAGCTTGGCAAGTTATACGGCTGCGCGTTTAAAGGTTGCTCTCGAGGGACAAGTCTTTCGAACCCATTAGGGTGATTGCCCAGCCGTTCCAGCAAACCGCTCAACCGGAAGGTTTAAACTTGGGTACCACCATGGCCACCACGTTTATGGGCATGGTATTTGTACTGGTACCCGTCAGTTTAGCCATTGATTTGGTCTATGATAGGGAGGTAAGTTTTGATGACTTCAAGTACACACGGGTTAATTTGGTAAAGTCAATATCGTGGTAAGATATATAATGTAAAAGACTTAAGCGATTAAAAATTTTCCCTTATTAACTCTAATTAAAAATCTGAATACCCTGGGTGCTGTTCGATTATATGGAACAAAAAAGGAAATCCCACATTAGTTATGACAAATTGATACGGATTATGGGATAACCAATTACAAGAAGTGATTTGAGTTTAATCCCGTAGATGGTTTTGGCAAATATTATCGAAACGTTTTTAGATCACAACTTTACACATTTACGAACTTCTTTATACTTAAAAATTACAATCAAGGGCTATAGTAAATAATGCCTCAACTTTTCAAAGCAACTTCCACAGGCTACTGTAATACTTTTTACAAAACTTCTGGATTCCTTCTGCGTCGGTTTTTGCTGAGTTGAAATTGCTGACGTTTCGCCAATCATTATGTTGGCTTCTTCAGAGCTTGACTCAAACTGGCTTGTATTTTACTCTGTACCTGCTTATATATTGTTTGAGGAGGGCCCTAATGAGGTGTAAAAGAACCGTCTCGGATGACCAATTCCCAAATTGGTGACAGGTAGAGACCTGAGTTGCGGTTAAGATTGTTATGTTCTTTATAGATTTATATAGACTCTCAGATTTTTCGTTGGTAGAACAGCTGATTACATGCAAGAATTTTAGTTTTATCAAATAAAATATTATGTCCGGTTTGATGAGTGTGTTCGGCAACAGCTTATGAGTTTATTTGTCTTAGTCGTACGGCTCTTTCGTGTTCTTTGAGCCGAGATATTTTTCGTCCGGTCTCTCCAATGTATTCTTTGCCGCATTTGCATGGAATGTTGTAAACTCCTCGCATCTCAAATGGAATTTTGTGTTTGACGGACCCAAGATGTTGAGTTGAGAGATTTTTCGACAAGTGGTAAATCTGGTTTTGACGTTATACTTCTTTAGAACTTTTGATATGTGGTCAGTGATGTTTTGAACGTAAGGAAAGACCACAGTGCAAATGTAGGATTGCTTTTGGTCTCATTGCTATTGGAAGGTTGTGGTGAAGTGTATTTTTTGATAGAACGCTTAATATCTTTAATGTGGAAATTATTAGAGAGAAGAGCATAGGTAAGGTGTTTTAATTCTGTTTTCAGTGACTCGGGCTGAGATAGTTTTACTGCTCTGTAAACGAGAGAGTTGATAAGCGATAATTTTTGATCCGGATGGTGATGTGACCATGCATTAACGGATCGGTCTGTGTGCGTAGGTTTTCTGTAAACACAATGTCCCAATATTAGGTCTGATTTTCTGATCTGCTTCAATGGTAAAACATATGTTAGGGTGTATAGAGTTTAAATGTATAAGAAAATCTACTCGGGTTTCTTCACCATGAGGCCAAATAACAAAAGTATCATCGACGTAGCGTTTCCATAATTTTGGTTTTAGATGAAAGGTGTCGAGGGCTTTCTTCTCAAAATATATGCGCGATGACTGGTGATAGTGGAGAACCCATAGTTGTTCCGACGTTTGTTCAAAAATTTGACCGTTATAAGAAAAATATGTCCCCGATAAACATTTTTCAATTAAGGTGAGGTTTGGTTCCAGATTCTCGGATTTTAATATATCTGAAATGATGTCGAGAGTTTCAGGATTAGGAACTTTGGTAAAGAGGGATTCTACGTCGAAACTAACTAGAATATCTTGTGTATCTAACTAGATTAATAATTTTTAGATTAGATAATCTAATAATTTCCACATTAAAGATATTAAGCGTTCTATCAAAAAATACACTTTACCACAATCTTCTAATAGCAATGAGGCCGAAAGCAATCCTGCACTTGCTACTGTGGTCCTTCCTTACATTCAAAACATCACTGACCACATATTAAAAGTTTTAAAGAAATATAACGTCAAAACCAGATTTACCACTTGTATAAAAATCCAAAGACAAAATTCCATTTGAGATACCAGGAGTTTACAGCATTCCATGCATATGCGGCAACAACAACCTAACAATCTTAATCGCGACTCAGGTCTCTACCTGTCACCAATTTGGGAATCAGTCATCCGGGACGGTGTTTATACCCCGTATTAGCGCCCCCCTCAAACAATATATAAGCAGGTACAAAGTAAAATACGAGCCAGTTTCAGTCAAGCTCTGAAGAAGCCAACAGGATGATTGGCGAAACGTCAGCAATTTCGACGCAGGAGGAATCCAGAAGTTTTATATAAAGTAATCCTCAACTGTTCTTGTATTATAACGCGGTTTTTGGCTACTTTCTTCAGTCCCCTTCAGCTCTTACCATTTCAGGTTAAAACGAAGAACCAACTGAGAGTGAACGGTTTGTCCTTCTCCATGTACTTCATCACATACTTCGTAGTCCTGTGCGCCATAATGGTATTGATAAGTGCGGCCTTAATAGTGATCATAATCATTTTCGATATACCGTCGCTGAAAGATTGGCCGGCCTTGGTGACGCTCGGTGTCCTGATATTCCTCTACTGCCCCTCGTCAATACTCTGCTGTACCTGCATCAGTTACATATTCGACAAGACCGACTCGGCTCAGTCAATTCTGCCAAACATCGCCAGCTTCGTCGGCAGCATACCGTTCTTTTTGGTGATCGCGCTGGACATGATGCGGATTGGCGGCAAAGCGGCTGTGATATTGCACTTTATTTTTTCGATACTGGACACCATGTACATACCGTACGCTATAGTCTATTACGTGCAGCGGGTCTATATGTTGTGTAAGGTGAACTACGCGTGTACGGTGCTCGATTTGAACAGCTACGTTACCCCCGAGATCGTCATCCTTCTAGTGGGAATGCTGATCAATATCCCCGTGTGGTTCGGACTCTTGTGCGTTATCGATATCAAAAAAAGTGGTGGCAAAGTCAGAGACGCCTTCAAATTCTTAAAGAAGGTATGCGCATGCGCGGATCCGATTCCTCCGGCGAGATTGTTTAACGTTGTGGGTTTCAGAATCGGCCGGTAGAGAGCGTCGAGGACAACGCGGAAGTTAGCGATATCGGGGAGAACGAAGACCACGATGTGAAAGCCGAACGGCTGAAGATTAAGAATCTGATGAGCTCGCCGAACGTCAGCCCACCAGTAGTTATGGTTCAGGTAACTAAACATTTTACTGTTCTCGTTTTTCAAGGGTTCCAATATCGGTTTTCCAGAATCTACACAAAGAGTACAAAAACAAGAACAAGCAGTACGAGTACTACTGCTTTAAAAACGACGACGACGAGGAGAAGATCAAAGTGGCGGTGAAATCTTTATCGCTGGCGGTTGATGCGGGCGAAGTGTTCGGCCTGCTAGGCCACAACGGTGCCGGAAAAACGACCACCATGAAGATCGTTACAGCCGAAGAAGCGCCCACCAGAGGAAGAGTGAGTTACTGGTCCGATTTACCGCTGCCCATACCTTACCAGTTTGATTTCAGGTGTTCATTGGCGGTCAAAGCATAACGTCGAACTTAAATTCGGCGTTTCAATTGCTCGGTTATTGTCCTCAGCACGATGCCTTGTGGAAAAATATCACGGTCCGCGAGCATCTGCAACTGTACGCTTCCATACGCGGGGTGCCTTATAGCGACATTGACACCATAGTTAATAGATATCTGAAGTAAGTATCGTACATCGTTTTTTAAACGACCCCAGAAGAATTTTGGTGGTCGGGATTTGTTACAACCATAGAGCTATGGTCTGTTCATAGATATAAGAAATTGAGCAATTACTTTTGAATGGGATTATCCAAGGGTGGTCATTAACATACAATGCAACAAGATTATTACCTAAAGTTTGTGGTCCGCAGTAGAAAATAATAGAAAATAATTTTATACCTACCTGTCTTTAATATTCTTTGGTTTGGTATACTACTTAGTTTAAGTTTATTAGTAATCGTTCTTATTTCGTGCGTAGTACAGCGTGTGGTGAATCGTGTGCGAATTATACAAAATATGTTCGAGTCGAGCGTATCTCAGGAGGTGCTCCCGCCCAAATGCAGAAAACACTATTATATTGAGACTAAGGAAGTTATAAACAATGTTTATTTGACTCTCATTGAACGTGGTGCCAGAAAAAACGGACACATTGACGAAAATTCCAACATCAACTGTATGGAAAATTGTAAATAATCTCATTTCAGCGAGGAAAAAAAAAGCGATGCTGACATTTTCTTGAGTGTAGATGAAAGGGATCAAGATATAATACGGCGTAAAATTTACCAATTATACAAGGAACAAAGCGTGCCTACATTAGATATCTGAATTAGGAGGCTTGAAAAGATGAAACCAGTGTTAAATGTGGCAGAACTACTTTATGGAAGTGTATTCAACATACGGGCTTTTTGATTTAAGAAAAATTGACAAAAGGCAAGTTTTAATGGAATTTTTTAGAATTCGGAAATGGCGACTGGGATATCTAGAAAAAATTAGGATTTACAGAGAACAACAAAGGCTAATTATTTACTTGGATGAAACCTGATTCGACACATATGATACCCCGGAAAAGGGTTGGGTTGACTCAACTGATCAGTGTAAAACAAACGCGCCATTAAAAAGAGGTAAAAGAATAACTATTTTGCATGCTGGCTCTAAAGATGGTTGGATTCCAAATGGACTTTCTCTGTCTGCGAAAAATATTAAAGATTCTTCTCTGGATTACCATGAAGATACCACCGCTGATTTATTTGAAAGTTGGTTTAAAAACAAACTAGTTCCAAACATTCCTCCTAATAGCGTTCTTGTAATGGACAATGCAAGTTATCACAGTAGACAGTCGACTAAAACCCCTTCCTCATGTGACGCAAGAGCAACAATCCAAAACTACATGTATAATAACGGCATTTATTCTCACGAAGATTATACCAAAAAGCAATTGATTGAGGTTCTACAAAGCTTGAACCTACAAAAGGAATACGTCTGTGATAATTATGCAAAAAATTTAGGGCATACAGTTTTACCTTATCACTGTATATTTAATCCCAATGAACATGTTTGGCACCAACTGAAGTCTGCCATTCGTCGTAACAATGTTTTTCCCCGTGTTAACTCCAATGTCCTCAAACTTATAGAAACCTAAATTTTTAACATCCCTCCACAGAGTTGGGCATATTTTGTTATACACATAGAAAAAGCAAAACAATCGTATATCCATGTTGCAAATAATATAGAACAAATAATAATTAGAACAGGCGATGATAGCGATAGTGATACTGATATATTATGTGAATAACTTTAAGTAATTTGAGTAGGTAATAAAAATAATTTGTAATTTTATTTTAGATTTCAACATAAATACATACATAAATAAATAAATATTATTTAGTATCTTTTCCAACAAAACCCCAAATAATTAAATTCTAAGCAAAGTACGGACCTGTTCGGCCATATTTCATTCTTACAACTTGCCCGGGTCTTTCCTTAATTCGTATCAGTTAGTCACTTTCTTATATCTATGAACAGACTTTACGTATCGGATGGTGGATATAGTCGGTACCAAAACGCATTTACCTGCCAGTGTTCTACCTTTGCACGCCTTGGTGTCGTGCACTCGACAGAGACAACACCAATTACCGGATAATTACACTAGTTTTCACTACAAAATAGAGTCCCATTTTTACATGCAGACTTTACCTTTCATTTCAGTTTTTATATAAACTTTGCAATTCATTAGTGGATTGCCTTCAGTTACTGAGCCAGCTGAACTTCCATGTTCCCTCAAGGACTATACACATTGTTGTTTACATTTTTGGTGGTTATGATTCTCTCTTTTTGGTTAGTTCGAATCCAAATTGCAATAAAATATAGCTAAATTACTGTGTGAATTGATACTAATATCTAAAGCCCGGTAGACACAATGCAATTTCTACATGTATTTTTAGAATTTAACAATTGCTGTTAAATTTTTTTAACGGAAAATTTTTTGCGGTAGCCGCCATGCAATTTTTTATGGCAAAATGTTTTTCAAATTTTGAGGCAATAAACTATACTTTTTAGGGTTTGGTAATGTTAATTCTGTTACATTTGTTAAAGACACGGTAATATATAATTTCGTGAAAATCTGAACTTTTAGTTCTTATTTATTTAGAGCTAATTGTTTATTGACTTGTTTTATACTAGGTTTAAATTTTCTCGGTTACATTTTCCAATATCTACAGTTTTTTAAAGAAATTATCAATTTGTACTTTTCATAATTATATACCTATTTGAGAGGCGAAACTTCACGCAAATGCGGGAAAAAATAGCTGTTATCGTGTCTATAGGGCTTAAAGAACCAAAACGCAAAACTACTTACAGAATTATATTAAAGACGCCGATCCGTATGCTGTAATTCAGCATAATATGTACTTGTCGCTAATTTTTTTTACCACGCTTTTCACACTTAAATTCCTTTTTTGCCTGAAAATTTAATAGGATTTCGACATATTTTGAGAAAATACTGCCGTAAAAATGTTGACGACCTGCCAGCGGCCATGTTGGTTGTTGAAAGGCCTTATGAGTCGAACGTCAGAATTTGTAGTTAGAGCTGCTATTGGTTAAAAACGAAATTTCAAATCTGGCGCATACGCATATTGAACAGACCGCAATTTTTTTTTATATAGTTGCTTCACGAGTTCCTGTACTACTAGCATAGGCAGGGCCTCTATATGTCTTGTAGCTATATGGTTACAACGGAAAAAAAAAGGAAAATTTTCTATCAAAATTATTTTTTTTTCAAAATTTATGAATGCTTTTTTAATTTTTCAAAGAAACTTCCACAGGCTACTGTAATACTTTTTATAAAACTTTTTGATGCTTCGTGCTTTTGTTGAGTCGAACTAGCTAACGTTTCGCCAATCATCCTGTTGGCTTCTTTAAAGCTTGATTGAAATTCGCATTTTACTTTGCACCTACTTTTATATTGTTTGAGGGGGACGGAGCTAAATGAGGGGCATAAACATTATTTCGGATGACTGATTCCCATATTGGTGACAGGTAAAACTCTAGTCGCGGCTAAGATTGTTTGGTTGTTTATAGATAGTTTTATCGAATAAAATATTATGTCCGGTTTGATGAGTGTGTTCGGCAACAGCTGATGAGTTTATTTGTCTTAGTCGTAAGGCTCTTTCGTGTTCTTTGAGCCTAGTTGATATTTTTCGTCTTGTCTCCCCAATGTATTCTTTGCCGCATATGCTGTAAACTCCAGGCATCTCAAATAGAATGTTGTCTTTGACGGATCGAAGATTTTGAAAGATTTTTGGACAAATGGAAAATCTTGTTTTGACGTTGTATTTCTTTAGAACTTTTGATATATGGTCAGTGATGTTTTGAATGTAAAGAAGGACCACAGTAGCAAGGGTAGAATTGCTATTGGAAGATTGTGTTGAAGTGTATTTTGTGATGGAACGCGTAATTATTGGAGAGAAGAGCAGAGGTAAGGTGTTTTAATTCTGGGTTCAATGACTCGGGCTGAGAAAGCTTTACGGCTCTGTAAACAAGAGAGTTGATAACCGATGATTTTTGGGCCGGATGTTGATGTGACAATGCATTGTGCGTAGGTTTTCTGTAAACACAATGACCCAGTGTTAGGTCTGATTTTCTATTGATAAGAATATCTAAGAATGGGAGGTAGTTATTAGTTTCTATTTAAATGGTAAAACGTATGTTGGGTGTATAGAGTTTAAATGTCTAAGGAGATCTACTAGGGATTTCGGACCATGAAGCCAAATAACAAAAGAATCATCGACGTAGCGTTTCCATAATTCTGGCATTAGGTGAAAGGTATCGAGAGCTTTCTTTTCAAAGGTTTCATAGCTGTTCCCGACGTTTGTTCAAAAATTTGACCGTTTTAGGAAAAATGTGTTCCAGACAAGCATTTTTCAATTAAACGCATTGTCCTAAAATATCTAAAATCTGGAAATAAACCTTCTCACCACAGATTTACCGCTTGTCTAAAAATCTCTCAACATCTTCGATCCGTCAAAGATAAAATTCCATTTGAGATGCCAGGAGTTTACAGCATTCTATGCATATACCTTGGGGACATCGGACGGAAAATGTCAACTAGGCTCAAGGAACACCAAAAAGCCTTAAGACTAAGACAAATAAACTCATCAGCAGTTGCCGAAAACAATCATGAAATCGGACATAAAATTTAATTCTATAAAACTAAAATTCTTGCACGTAATCAATTCTCCTACCAACGAAAAATCCGAGAGTCTATAGAAATCTATAGGCAACCTAACAATCTTAACCGCGACTCAGGTCTCTACCTCACCAATATGGGCATCAGTCATCCGAGACGGTGTTTATGTCCCTCATTTAGCTCCGCCCCTCAAACAATATAAAAGCAGGTACAGAGTAAAATGCGAGCCAGTCAAGTTCTGAAGAAACCAACAGGGTGATTGACGAAACGTTAGCTAGTTCGACTCAACAAAACCGACGTAGGAGGAATCCAGAATGTAATAAAAGGTTTTATGAATATGTGTTATTTTAAACTTTAAACTAACTTTAACTCCAACTTCCGGATCTATCGCAAAATCATGTCGCAACTAATTTGTTTCATGATACTCTGTAAGTAGTGTACTTTGGCTACTTCTGCACTCCCCGTGCCTCGGTGGAGATTGGTGGAGATAAACGTTATCTTTTTCTGTTCGAAATTCTTCAAACTTCAATTTGACAAACAACATTATCTATCTTTTCGTTGACGTGAAAAGAAACCTGAACTGCGATGGGTCAGAGAGCGCCAATCTGTATTACGTCCGTAAAATATGACGTCGCGTTTGCAGTGGGCTGCAAATTCAAGAACACGCGGACAAACAGACGAAGCAATGCTCTGGCGGGACAAAGAGGAAGCTCAGTTTCGCCATGTCGATGGTGGGCAATCCGAAAGTGGTGCTGTTGGACGAGCCCAGCACCGGTATGGACCCCCGAAGCAAGCGGTTCCTGTGGGATACTATTTTGGCCAGTTTTCAGGGATCCCGGGGTGCTATATTAACCACGCATTCGATGGAAGAAGCGGACGCATTATGTTCGCGTGTCGGTATAATGGTGAAAGGTGAACTCAGGTTAGTAGTACGTTGTATAATATGGGACGATAGTCGATGTAGATTCTTGATGAAATATCACATGCTAAGCGTTGGGTTAACTGATTGAATGGAAAATTATAATAAGAAGTATTGAAGCAATTTTAATTGACAACAAAAGGAAAACGGTTAATTGAATAAACTAATATAGATGAATGTCAGTCTACCTTCTTCTATAATTTCTCTAATTTCCCTCTAATACAAACACTTTCTGTACATCCATGCAAAGCCTCTCGAAATATGGTATCGCCATAGGCATTTAAAAGCAGTGGAGATAGAATACAACTCTATCGCATTCCTCTCCTTATGTCGATGTCGGAAGAAAATTTATTAGCGATTCTAGTTTTATCATTTTTGATACCGATACAAATTTGATATTATTCTTATATGACGACTGTCGACGTTCTATCCGACTGGATCGGGAATGTGAACTACTATTCCCTTCTCTCTGGCCGTTTGTAGATCTGATTATTTAGAAATGTCCTATATGTGTGTCTCTCTGAATATATTAGTCGTAGAGCTTTTTTACAGCGATGTAATAATATTTATTGAACACTAAAAATCTAAAAATAATAAATAATAAACACTTACCTTACGTTGCTCCTATACTTCGGACCAACTAAACTTTTAATTGAAAGCTGTTTCTTGTGTTCGATTTAACAAGGTTGAGCAGTCAATATTCAAAGTAGGATTTACTAAATTGTGACACGAGTGTTACTGCCTCTTTTTCTAATCTTTCGATACTGCCATATATTCTTCTTTAACTAACTCATCTTTTTTTAAATTGAGACAAGCAGATCGTCTAGTTTTTGAGTTAACATGTGACGAGTGTTGTGGGCCTTTGTATATACCAGAAGGATTTACAAAGTTGAGAATTTTATTGACTTAAAATTGTACCAATTGTTTCTAGATGTTTGGGTTCAACTCAGCATTTAAAAAATCTCTACGGGGCCGGCTACACTTTGGAGATGAAGTTAAGAGGAGGTGACTCAACCCCTACTTCAAACTCGAGCGACCGGAACGCGGAATTGAGAGAATTTGTCACAGGTTGGTTGAGCCAAATGACTTTAAAACCATAACCAACCAATATATTGTTTCAACCACAGGGCTGTTTGCTGACGCCACCTTGCAAGAAAGCTTCGCCGACAGATTGGTTTTCAGCGTGCCGCAACAAAGCGTACCTTCATTGGCCAAATGTTTTTCGCAATTGGAGAAGGGTAGGTAACACAATTACATTATTTCTCAAACGAGACTTTGTTAAAATGGTTTCCAATGAACTAATCAAAACAATACTAACTTGTTACATAATTCGTACGGGATGAAATACGTTCTAGCTACTACCATTGCCACATTTTTGTGTAAAATTGGAAGTCTTTTGAAGTGTAATAGACACCAATCTATACGAAATTGACTTTTTGGTTTTTTGATGACACGAATTCAAGAACTGAATCGCGATTTTAAAATTCGAATTTATTTTTGAAAATATAAGATATTTAGTGCCCTGCTTATCCGGACACCACTGGTGTGAAAGTAGAAAGATAATTGTCACCCAAACAGTGTTTCTTTGCGTTGTAGTTCCCTGACGAATTTCAACAAAATATCTAAAGCAGTTTTGGTTAGTTAGTATAACTGGACGACTGTAGAAATTCTTGTTAAACAAATTAGAGTTCTCCTAACGATATACCGTTTCCACGACATAACCGCAGACCTAATAATATAATAAATAAATTGATTCACAATTCCACAATGGCATTCCAGGGCCGTACTTCGGTACTTCGGGCATACAAAGGCTGAATGTTGACGAATTTGTGGAGAGTTTCATCGGTGAGATTCCTCTATTATTATTAGTCCATGCAGTAAAAAAATGTTTATAATAAAAAAAATGAAGGAGTAAATTTTGCTATAAAACAATATTAGAATATTTATAAAAAAAAGTTATTCCACATCAAAATAACCTCTTTGACATGTTTTGCAGAAAGCAATAAGGCGTTATCTACTCAACCAGCTTCAAGCCCGCATGTAGTATGAAAATTCGTTTATCCCGCGAAACTGGCACATCCAACAAATGTTTGCTCCTGTTACCATCAGTCAGTCCATCCTTTCTTGACGGTAGCGTGGCTATCAAACCAGATCGCCTCTAAATATATTATGGGGGCGTTTTTAGCGCAGGTTTCTTGAATTTCTCTCAAATATCTTGTCCCTTACTCCCAAATTCTTCTTGATTCTATCAACACTTGCCTATTATTGATGGTTTTGTAATAAAAACCAACCCTTCGTACGAATGCACGCAAAGTCTCTTGGCAACACTGAATGTTCAAAACACTACCCAACTCTTCATGTAAATTTTTAATGGTTAGAACAATATTCTTCCTATACGCATCATATATCAACCGTCTCACTATTCCAGCACGGTGCATGTCAAGTGGACTCTTTGGGACCCCACGAATTTTCCGCGTTTTTCTTTCTTGGACGCCATTTACAACTATATTACGTACTGTGGCATACAGATATCGATTTCAGAAACAGAAACACATTTGAAATTATAATTACATCATCGATCACAATCTCAACTTCTTCGTCGCTGGATATCGCAAGTAACTAACAAAACTGAATAATGTTAGTATCTGGTAAGAAATAAATTGTAATGAATGTAATGGTACCTCAATAAAAATGCACACTGAGTCTTGAAAAGCAATTGAATAATAGTAAGTTGGTAATTACAAACACAAGACGGAATAGAATTAACTCCAAAGCTTCGACGACTAAGAAAGTTCTGTTTCATGAAACTGGAGGAGATCAACCTTTCTAATGGGCAAATTCAACTTGAAATCGAGCTACCTCAAGTAGGGACTGTATTTGGAAGATTTATAGAAAGCACACTAATATGAATTAATATAACAGTTTAATCAAAGAGAATTTCCCTACTCTTAAAATTCAACACTCCACACGGCACAGTTTTTGCCGGACATATGTGCTGAAAAGAATGGTTCCTCCTACTTTACAGTAAGCCGGTCTTAAACTTATTGCTAATGCAAAACCATAAAAGGTTTTAAAAATGGTATATCGTTCGGAGAACTCTACTACCTGACGTAAATGCTTTCATGCATAGACCTCTAATCGGGTCTTCTGCGGATAAGATAATTAATGGTTCCAAATTGCAGCCAAAATAGACCTCGACATCGAAGAGTACAGCTTCAGTCAGACCACTTTGGAGCAGGTGTTCTTGAAGTTCGCCCAATACGATGAAATCAACGGCGATTAGGACGCCGCAGATAATTTTTATTTTGTAAATTAAGTGTGATATCGATTAGAAATTAAGCGAAAAATTCCGTTATTACGAAAGGAATTACCTCCGTAATTGAGGGGCGGTGTTTCTTTTGAGTTAACGGCCTTATAGTCCCGCGCATTGATGGTGAGAATCTAGCGACAAAAAAAATGAGCTTTCTACCAGATAATTAGTTTTCTATTTATTGAATCTTTGACATTGTGATATTATTTAAGTATTATTTAGAAAATTTTATCTAAGTAATAAGGAATATTAGGGCATTAGATCGCGTTCCAACTCTTGCGTCGGTGAGTAGGTGCTCCCGAGTACCCGAGCTTATTTATTATTTGACGAAAACGGTTTTGTTTGAGGACGACGATACGACTTTAGATTTTTAAGTGAGACACGAACTAACGTGGATCCAAATTGTATTAGAGACGATTATATCAAATGTTAATTTAGCGATTGCAATAACGTTTTATTTATTCTCATTCTCGCTAGAACTAATTACGATACAGAAAAATTTGAGAAAAAAAAATAAATCGTTGCTATTTGTAGCTAGCTTTTGTTTGTACCTAAATTCCCCGAGTGTCATCAAACTGGACTGGCGGTGTTATCAGACTCTTGTAGCAAAAAATTTTTTGATTTTTTGCTATAATTAAATTATTACGCAGGGCGTTATGCAATTGATAATTAATGAATGAAACTCCAGATTGACGTCCAGAATGAAAAATTACTGCTTATACCTATCCCTTGCCGTTGTGTTGGAAAATAATAGCCAACAAGCGATAATTTAATGAAACAATTGAAGCATTAAAAAACGTTTCATTATTTTGCATCGGCAAACCAAATTATGAAAAGTGACTTACCTATTTTTATTCTTAGTACAAGAAACAAGGCTAATTCTGCACGTATTCAGTAGATAGGTTGGCGTAACTATAGTCCTATATAGAATTTTTCATTCCTTGATGCCAAATATTCGCTGTAGTTTTATATACTTTTCATATCTAAAACATTATTTGACCATTTAATATTGCTCTTGCTGCATATTTTGACATGTTTTTGGATGGAGCTTTTTATCAAACACAATTCTGTTTTTTTGCAAAATTTTCTGGTTACATAGAGTAAATATAGCAGTATCACAACACTTTGCAGCTACTAAATACGTAAGCTGCAAGGTTACCAGAAGCAAGTGCGTAAAACATTATTTTGCCATATAATATTGCTATTACTGCATATTTTGAAATGTTTTTAGATGGAGTGTTTTTTCAAACACAATTTTTTTTATTTTGTATATTTCCTGGTTAAATAGAATAAACATAGCAATATCACAACATTGTGCAGCTGGATGACATTTTGCGAAGACAGTTAATATTTGCCCATCTACTAAATACCCAAACTGCAGGATTGCCAGAAAGAAATTTTTCTTTTATTGACTGCTTTCCACAGACCAGTTTCGTTACAACGTTCGTTTACTTTATATCCAAACGCGGTAAATTTCAAAATCAAAGGAATGTTTCATCTTTCGCCATGCTAGCACAGATAATGCGAACATCATTAAACGATCTTTGCATGTGGTGGGCAAATAGATTTAGAACTTGTTAGAATATGTTAAACGGCGAAAAAAACAGTTCAATCTTAATATTTTTATAGATTGATGCTTGTGGCGAAATCTCTTGATCTAGTGGGTCAATGAAGGCCCAAAAATAGTTATAAATTGCGACACAATTGGTTGGTGGGAACAATACAAATAAAAAGAGAGCAACCCATAAAATGAGAATAATCATTTCTCCAATATATAACAAAAACAACGTTTGAACGAATTGAATCAGGTCTTATGTATGCGTTTATGTTTTTATCTCTGCCCACTTGGGTAGAAGAAAAAAGACAGCGAACGTTGGGTACTTATTGATGAGAATTAACTAATTAAATTCGTGGTAATGTTTGTTAAGTTACTTACATTATATTTACATTACAAGATTTATTATTTAATATAAATTTGTTTCATAAGGAGTTTTTAAGTAAGAGGAAAATTGAAAGTGACGTTATGCCTAAACCACAGCATACACAATCTTTTCTCATGATTTTGCTAAAACTGATTCTATAGCTTAGTGCTGTGTGTAGAGTAAATACATATATGTAATGTACACATGTTTATAACAGGTCAGTATTTTTTTGCTATTTATTTAGTCCACATTGGAAAAGCTATGGAAAAATTTGTTTTTCTAATCCAGCCTAACTTATTTATTTTTCAGTAATGGTATGTTTCCGTCCTATAACCGCTTATAATCAACCAAAGGGAACCAACCATTAATAGAAATTTTGCTGTTTCGTGAACACTATATAAATAATTTTTATGTATATATGGTATGGTTTGTATTCCAATTAATTATTTTAATTTGTATTTTATTTTCTTATTTATTTTGTTTTGTTTTTTATTTATTTGCCAACGATACCGTGCATTAAAAAAATGCAGGGCGCAGACGTGAAACGAAGTGGCAATTTTGTGAGTATTTACTGTTTTAACAATAGTGAAGTTAGTGATTTCTGTGATTTCCTCCTGGATTTGGTATGATTCAACTAATAGCGTTAACGATTATTTTATACCAAAAATTAATCGGGTGCGCTTAATAGATAATGTTAATTATGGACAAACGGTAAATGGCAAATATTTACCACCTTTTAAATTATATGTACAGAACTGTAGTAAACAAAATACTAAAAGAAAGCTATTGTTTTATTTGTGTATCGGCAATGAACAACCCCCAAAATTTGTTATATTTTTTATTTCCTTTTGATCAATACTTTATAATATATTTTACAATTTTTAAACTATTATCAATGTCGTAATCTACGATTCTTTTTTACATTTCCTACGAGTAGTGGTCTTTGTTTCTCTAGGCATTTTAAACGTTTTCTTTTTATTCGAAATTATTCTTCGTTTCGTTTTTCGAAGCCCTCTTTTATGACGAACAGACGGTAAAAAAAATAAATCTTTCAAAAGCAAACACATTTTTCTTCATCACTGATTGGCACTGTACACCTTGTATATCGGAACCTTCGTAGTAGACGGTTTTTGAGCATACCTCTATAAATATTCACAACTTGCTTTGTAATGTCGACAACTTGCGTCTTCGTTTCGCACGAAATTAATTGACGACGAAGTAATTCTGTCACTGCGTGTCCTAGACGGCGGTAAACTTAAAATTTTGTACTGGAATCACCGTTTCTCGATCGATCTGTCCAATATTGAACCAAAAGAGGCCGGGTTAAAGTATCGACAAGTCTGTTACTTGCCTCGCATACAGTTTGATATGTCTCGACTAATAACTTCTCCTATCTCTCCGATCGACATATTTATACTAGACAGACCGTCTTCTGATACCCGTATTCGCGTGTGCACCTCCTTACTCGGCACATACCAGCACCAGACATCGCTTGTACTCCATCATTCTGGCTCCGGACTGACCCGATACCAGACATCAGTCGTTTGCGTCCACGCTAGATCCTTTAAAAAACCTATTCCTCAACGGGGGTCGTCCCACGCTGTGGTCCAAGCTGGCGGCCCGTCTCTCTCTCATTTGGGCCGCTAGCAGTTCGATCTCCCAATTCGAGCTGGAGTTCTCGTACTGATCGCCCGATTCGTAGTCTGTCGGTTCGTTTTCTGAAGTTTCTCCGATATCGGATTCTGTATCTGGCGAGAAAGAACCAAAACAACTTAGGAAAATATTAATTAACAATAATAGCTATTATCCGATCTGAGAAGTGGAAAGATCTACAAAAATAGTTTAATTCAAAATATTCTGTATTGCCTTAAACTTCTAAGTTGCCAAGTTAGTAATATGCTAACGTGTTGCTATGTTTTCGTTTTTTATAAATTTATTTGATTTTTTAAACTTAATACTTAAGTTAAGCAATAAATGATAATTTCAACATCTTGGAGGTCAAAAATCATCGTTTTATTGAGCATTATGTTGATTGAATAACATTTTATTTTATTGTTAAAAATCAAAATCAAAAATTAAAGTAAATTTACAAAACAAGATATGTGGCAACATTGTAGCATGTTCATCACTTTTGCTATCTTAGAATAAGGCAACATAAATTTTATTTATTATATATAAAAATTGAGAGGTGTTGAAAATATTATAAATTTGTATCAAAAATAAAGAAAAACACTTCTGGATACGAAATGTCACACGAGTCACAGAAGTCTCCACTTTCATATATCGTTGAACTCGTCTTGAAACACACCTTCCGAATGTGTGTCAATATTTAGGTGTTCTTTTGTATTAAACTTTTTTTGTAAATTTTCGGACAGTGAGTCTTACGTGGACCACGCTGTATAATTACATTAATACACACGTCTTTATATTAAATAAGTCAACAGAAATAACAATTACTTATTTTTCTTTCAAATTGTGTTTTTATTAATTTTTTGGTAAAAGAAATTACATTAAAAATACTCTTTAGTTCAATTGGCAGAGCATTAAAGATTCAGTAACAATTTCCAAACAAACTCTTCTGCATGTAATAGTACATTATCCAACCAGTTTGATAAAGGCCACATGTGATGTAACCTCTATGACCATTAGTTTTTGGATACAGTTTCATAATATGACAAACGTCAAAATAATTATGATTTTCACTTTTTTCAGATAACTGTTTTTGTAGATTTTATTCTTTTTACGCTATAATATTTGCCGACACAGAAAGCCAACCCAGGGCATGTAGCATGGATACCACTGCCTCGCCTTGTTTTACAACCTGTGTTAGTATGTAGTATATTAAAAACAATGCATTGCTCTCAAGATTATCCTTATTAATTTATTTCGTCTTCAAACGGTTTCATACAGATACTTCTTTCGATAGATTATTATAATATAAATATGTTCTTTTTAGCACTTTGAAAATCAGCATTGGGACGACTCACTGTCTGACTGACTGACATTACCAAATATAATTTCATAATTTTAACCACCAAATCATATAGATCAAAAAATATTATAAAATATTTCCACCTATACAGGGTGTTTACTAAAGAAAAAAAAATATGAGTTTTATTATTGCCACCAATACATGTATATTTTTGGATCTTATCCATTCATCATTAATAAAACTCATCTTCATGGCTCACCCTTTTAAACGGTAAGGCGAATATTTACTGCATACAATCTCTATATAGGACACCCTGTATGGCTTATCAACAAAAAAATAAAAACTAAGTAAAACAATGATTCAGTCTAAAAGGAAATTGGTAGATCTTAGCAGCGAATTAGCAGTCGACCACAACGCCTTATTGAAGTGGATACGTACGGTCCTGCTAGAGGGAGCCACAACAAGAAGGTGCTAGTCAAAGTGTTTATAGGCGTGAAATGTTATTTTAAGTTTTTAGATATTTGACTAGTAAATAGTTTAGGTTAGTTTTGGTGTAATTACGCTCCCGGATTTAATACCTGCTACAGTTGCTAAAAATGGACTTCAAAATAATAAAATATAAATTTTGAAAAATTGAATATTACCAGTTGCGGAATCGATGTTTAGTACAGTGTCGTTCGACTGGGGAGACCAGACGTCCAAAGGTTGCGGCAGTTCTTGCAATTCCTCCGTTTCTTCGTGCGTCGGTTCTTCCCACGAATGTCGGTCCCGCGTGATGATAGTGTCTAGCGATCCCTAAATAAATTTGGCGATAAAACGTTTTAGATATCGTTTTTTAGTAGGGCCTACTGAAAACGAATCGTCGGTCCCTTTTTCTAGCTCGCAAATATGGGCTTTCAGCTGAGTGATGACCTCGCTTTTTCGCCGTAGTTCGTCCTCCAGTCTGTCGAACCTCTCTTGGAATTTCTGCTGAAGGTCCAGAAGGTGGGTGCTGATGACTTGCTTGATGGCCAGCAGGATGTCCGCGAAGTATTGTTGTTCGTCTTCCAGAGATGCTTTGATAATGTATATTGTCAGTTGGAGTGAATCGTAAAGGTAGCCACGGAACTTACCTTTTAGTAACTTAACTTGGTTATTTTGTCTATTAGGCACTAATTGTATACCACATCGTTCCAGTTCGTGTTTCTTTTCCTAAAAAGATTTTATAGTGCATCATTCCTTTCACATTTTGTTTGATTTAATTAATTAAGCCCGTTTCTCATTTCGCAACTTATTCTAATGACATTTCCGAATAAAAATTGCAGGAATTTTAGGACAGATTGCCACATGATAAACAGGCTTTGAGGCTTAGTATTTTAAAAACAAAATTTTAAAGCTTACAACAATGATTAAGCCGGTTAAATCACAACTAGTTTTAAATTATTTCAATGGATATTATCCATTGTTATTCCATTTCAAAAATTTATTAACTTGAAGTGGCGTCAATTTATTTCTAAATGAGGAGTAGTTTCTCTCTGATATGTCAAATATTGTGTTTTTAAATTTTCGATTTTATTGAATTGGTCAGTGAGATTTCCCGAGAGTCCCATATCTGTTATTTTTGAAAGAAAACCATTGCCTTCGCCCTCGCACAAAACAAAAGCTTTTTAAAAGCTCTTTGGAATTATATTGCTGATGGAATCCTCCAACTGCCACTTTGCGGATCTCCTCAATTGTTGCTTTTTTTCTATAAAATTATATAATGTATAAAATTCATTTTATTTAAAGAAATGATTTATTTAAATGTATTTTTTATTTCCATTTTTTCATTGTAAGATATATAATTTTCTATTTACAAATATTTTGGATACGTCTTGCGTCGATAGCTGATGAATGCCACTTGCTGACGTTTCGGCAATCAGTTGGTTTCTCCAGAGCTTAACCGAAACTGAACTGAAGACGCCAGCGGGATGTTTTGATTGTTTTTTCGACGATTTTCATTGTCTAAATTTAATTTTTATTCAAACAAGAAGGACTTTATAAGCAATTTTCATGTAAAATTGGGAGTTTTTATAAACTTTAAAAGTGTTTATCAGTTTGTGAATACATGTTTATTTGGGATTCTCCACGACATGGTACAACTATTTTGAATGAAATGTAACGTAAGGAGTTCTCTGCAGTGCAGTCCCTCGACATTAAATTTAACGATATTATTTTCATAACACCCTGTATAAATTTGTTAGACTGATACCATTTAACCATTGAGTTTAGACATCGTCTGTCACTATACCACCTCTGAATGATTATTATACTATGGTGTAAATCTTACCTCTTGCCGAACGTCTAGGCCGTTGTCCGTTGGCGAATTAATGAAAGGAAACAAACTCTGGGGCGTACCAAGGACGGCATTGGCACTATGAGGGGGACTCTGGAGGGTGTCTCTATTAAAGGTCACGCTTTTGGCTAGTTTGCTGTGCCTCGCCGCGTAACCCTCGATCGTCGGAGCTCGCATCAACTTCTTAAAATCCGAAGAATCCTTCGATTCGTGGGTATTCGTTTCGTTCTCTTTGGGCTCTTTCTCTTTGGTGTCTTCGGATAGTTTTTTCAGTATCGATTTTAAGTTTCTGCGTTCCGGAGTTTCGTTGGACTCGTTGGATGAGTGGAGGGGAGAAGGGGCTAACGGAGCGCAAAGGAATTGCTTTTCCTGCCGTCTTTGGTCTTGGTGCACAGCGGAACCTTCCGAATGGGACCTATAAGCAGTCGGCCATTGTGGGGGTATGAAATTTGGGGGTATTAAATTACCTCGTTAAAGTATCGGTGGTTTCTATTTGGGTGTCGGGGATGTCTAATGAAAAGCTACGGGTTTTCATAGCGATCTCGAGCTCTTCAAGCTTTTGTCGTTCGTTGAGGATTTTTAGTTTTTTGACGAACGGCAACGGTCCGTACTCTGGTGATAAATCATCTATCGATCTGGAATTTACGAAACTTGAAATATCTGAAGCTTAATTAAAAGCGCGAAGAAATCTCTCTAGCGCGATACATGCAGATACATCATCGATAAGTATTTGTTTAAAAGAAAAAATTTAAATAAGTTCTGTGAAGGTCTTATATTTAATGAAATTTGTTATTAACTGAAAATTTTTGGATGAACTTATTGAATTGATAGAATTTGTAGGGATGGTTATTTAATGAATGCAGGATACGAATGAATACCTAAAATGTGCATGATTGAAAGTATAGGTTTAATTGAAAGAAAAAATATGCTGAGCGTTTCGAAGAAAGGAACTGACTAAGTCAATGGCACGCTTGGGAATAGGTTTTTAACGTCAAGGGAAATCAACATAAAACTGTCTGGAATATCAATACTCTTCAGGTAACTAGGCAACGCAACTGAATTTAGGGTAGCTATCACAACGGAGTCGACTCAGTTAGTTCAACTACGTTAGGTTCGAACGAGATATCTTGAATTATACTATACAATCGTTTTAATAAACAGCAGTGCTGGTCACCCACCTATACTGAGAACAATTCGTTTGGGAAGCAAGTCGAACTAGCACAGATTGACTGATTTTTTGGTACTTGTATTGCGAGAATCTTAAAAAATACAAAATATTAGACCATAACATTTAGCATAATAAGCTTTATTGTGTTTACAAATCCTACCATCGAAAGCATGTCTGGGGAATCTACCCACCTGTAGCGAGAAGTGATCGTTTGCGTTTGCCGAGTTGGTACAGATCGATTCAGCTTTTGAAATTTGGATTGCACGAATCTTTAAACATAAAAATAACAAAAAATATGAAATGTTATGTTAAGATAGCAGTAAAGTCAGTTGACATGATATTCAGTAGTAAGAATACCTAAGTTCTAAAACCTCTGTCCGGAGGAGACTTTTTTCATATTTAGTTTTGCCACTCATCTGCAGACAGCCACACAGTTTTGAATTTACTTAGCATATAGCGTTGCGTAAATACAGGATGCTTAAACAATTAAATAAATCCTCCCTTAGTCAAAAAGGTGTATTCTGCCGTACTGTGGCATACATCTCTTTAGTACCTTGTTGAAGAGTGTGTGTGCGTATGTGTGTTAATTTTTCTTTTTTCCCAAATTTAAAAAAACTTCATTGTTGAGACGCCCTATATCTACGTGATTATATACTACCTGCCGCGTGTAAGTGCTTTGGAGGACGGATATTCTAGAATATTTTTATAATTTATACAATACAATTTAACAACTAACCGAAAATGCCACCATATTTAATTTTCCCGATGTTATTTATAGCCGATTTATCGTAGGATAAACTAATTGGACCTAAAATAGAGGTTTTAACTTATGCAGTGATATTAATCACTGCCTGGTTCCGACTGTGGTGTGCGCAGTTTTTTTTTTAGTGAAACGCAAGCTAAAATTCTAGTCCAAAATTTTGTAACACGAAAGGTTGTGGTGATACTTCAATGGTCGATAAATTAAATTGATCCACACAATATTTTGATAGATTTGAATGATAACTTTTTTTTAATTCCATTTTAGCTAACCCAGATATGCGAATACTGCTTTTATCTTTCTATTCGCATAAAAAACTGCAGTGACCGCAGTTAAATAAAATATATAAAGTTTTTGGCAAAATATACTTTTTGTAATATTTTCGACATACATGGTAGAATCGTTACACAAGGAAGTGCAACTCATTGAGATCTGAGATAGCAGAGCATGTCAGGTAGTGTTGTCGATAGGTCACTGGAAGAGGCACAAGTTTGCGCAGTTTGTAAATAATAATAATACGATAAATAAACATAATGAAGGTGCGAAGTACTTTTAGTCTCTAATCAGATATATCTGAGTTGATTTTGCTTTCTGGAAAATTTAACAACACATACACGACTAAGGAAAGCAAACGTACCTGTAGTGTTTGGTTTTCCTCGATAGTACGAAACTCGGTTTCTTCACAGCCTTGTCTTTGACTTCTGTTTGGCTATTGCCGTTTTCCTGATCTCGCGACGATCCGTCGGGCAGCAACGCGTCTTTCGAGATGGCAGCCCGTTTCAACTTGGACCAGTGGGCGCCGTTCTTTTCCACACTTTCACTAAACGACGTCGCGATCGCTAAGCGTTCCGAAATATTCTGAGCTTCGCTACCTTCGTCAGCGACGACGTTGGACGCTAGTCGGTCGCTACTTAAAATACTGGACGGTACTTTTGGCACTATGTTCGACGGGTCTACTAATGCAGGCGGTTCGCTGTCGTTCAGTAGCGAATCTTTGATACTGGAGTCTTTCTCTTTCACGTTGGTGTGAAGTTTGATCCTATCCCTACGATAAATTTATTTGTTTGACGAATGGTACGACACCACCCAACATAAACGGCAGGTTTACATTAAACTATACAATGTGTACCAGATTCGCTTCTCTATACAGGGATCTCCGCTCCTATTATACCTACAGCAATGGTTAAATGAAGAGGAAACTTGTGCATTTGCTAGTGGGTTAAATTGACAGCTGTCAAAATTCATTGCGTTTTTCCGTTTGTGTTTTTTATTAATGTTAATGTTATATAAATCATGGTCTACTTTAAGTATGACCTCACTTTGCAAAGTGTGATAAAATCTTTTGTGCACTTCTGATACATCACTGAACTGAAAATTTTAAGCTTTTTCCAAAAATAGAAAAAGGCGATTGAGACACTTCGCACACTCTATCTTACTCGTCTCAAATAATAATGTCACGTCTTGACAGCTGTCAATTTAACCATTTTGGATTTACTGGCAGCTGTCAAAATGAAATGTGAATATGAAAACAAAGAAAAAATTGATTGAGATTGATGAGAATGATCTATTGAATTCTACAGAGTGTTTCAAGATAAATACGAAAAACTTAAGTGATTGATTCATTCTTTAAAATAAAGGAACCATTAGGTTTCTTTTTTACCACCAAAACGTGAATAGATACAACAATAAAACATTACGAAAGCATTACTATTACAAAAACACACTTTCCCCATTTTTTTTTCAAAACGAGTGTGGGGATTGAGTTAGAATGCCCCTATCACTATTTTTAACTAAATTAAATTAAAAACTAGTAACTCGAGACACTAAACTCGATTTACAGACTCCCGAAACCATGTTGCCAAATTGGTTCAAGTTTTTAGATCAAAACTTGGACCTGTTCACCGTTTGGTGGGAGATACACATATGAGCGAGTTAAATACACAAATATTGCCAGTATACACGAGGTACAGGGTGTGAACGTTTTTCTGTATTTTATATAAACTCGTTTTTGTATTATAAGTAAATTTAATTTTGAGGATTCCGCTTTACCGCTTGGTTAGGTGCTCACTTGACCCTTCAAAATATGTTGTTTCAGGCGTTAACTGAAAATAAACACTTGAGTGCTCGCAACATGCAAAGAAAAAGAATTTTCCATTAAAATGATGAGGAGGCACAGATTGTTTCTTTTCTCTCCATTTTTCTCCAGATCTAGATCAGAAATTTGAATTAATGTAGCTTAAAGGGGGCGCTTGGTGTATCCAATTATATTAACAAAACATGGTATTTAAATATAAAAACTCAGTCAAAATAGATGCTCTAGGTTTTCAAGTTATAAACTGTATCTAATCAAGTGGAAAAAATAAAAGAAGGAAGTTAAAAAAATCAAGTTTATATCAATTTTGAAAGCAATAGAAACATTACAAAAATATGAAAATAATTGAAGCAACAAACCTGGGCATTAATTGTATTACAAAATTTAAATTCAACTTATCCTTTTTGGTCTAAAAACTATATACCAACTTAATTATGTGTATTAATTTATTTATTTATTATAATTTTATACTATATAGCAAACTATGTCAATAGTAATAACAACATATTAGATACCCTGACAAATGCAACCAAATTTTCTAAACTGTCAGTTTTTCGAATAATGTTTTTGTAAATAATAAATCAAATAAAAATTTCAATATCATGTCAATTGGCGTCACTACTCGTGATCTACCTGAGTTTAATTTCTGGCACTGTTTGCCAAGGAAAGTAGCATTATAGAGGGAACGAGAAAGACATATTTGTTAACGAAAGTTGAAGTGACCGTTCTGCAACGTTCCGTCCGTTCGTTGTCCGTACGTACATCAGGCAGTCAGGCGTACAAATTTGTCGTTTTACGTCACGCCGCCAATTTTACATCTCCCGAACGATTATAAAGGGCTTAATTAACTGAGAAGGGTTATGTAGTTACAATATAGATCGTGTTGTGCTTCGGGATGTGGCTTGTAATGGAACTAGATTGGGGCTAAGATTGCCCCGACCCCAATAAGTTAGCGACAAAAGGAGTCTGCTCGCATAAATGGCAACGATTGCCGAGAAATTGTTAGGCCATTACCGACAGAAACATAAATTAACGTTAGGAGATTGATTAATATCTTCGAAAAATTTGGAATATTTGAGAGTAAAAGCAGTAGAAAGTATAAGAGACTAAAATTAACTCATTCTAATGGACTTTCACGTCACATTTAGTAATATGGGTAGTATTGACATACCGTTGATCTTGATACTTAACACTTAACACATTAGATTGCTATTAAAATCCCTTAACCCTTAAAATTAGTTTAAACAGAGTTTCAAAATGATATTGAACCGTTTAAACAGTTTAGAAAATTTAAAAAAATCCGAGTCGTGTGGAAAGCCCCGATAGAGGAAATGTACAAAAATTTTATTGTGCTAAGATTTCTAGTCACAGGTGAAACGTATGGTTCACTATTTTCTTCGTACCAACAGCAAAGTTTACAAAATTAAAATATAAGTTGGGGCACTGGCCAACGTGGAAGGTTGCCTCTATCCCCAGTAGGTTGGCAGAGCATCATATCTGTGACGTATTGTGTAGGTTATGGCACTAAATTAAACGAGGGACTGTCTTTTTTTCGTTGTCCATTTGATGAGGTCAGGTAATACTATTTTAAAACCTTTTTTCTCTTTCTTTCAGGGGGAAGTCCAGTAGTTTACTTTCTCCATTGCTTTTATTGCTTACCACTGTATTTCACAGTATATTCAATATCATCCTTGTTTGCAGATGCCACGCTTGGAAAAATGTACTTGGATTTATAGGCCCTCATGCTAGTATAACGTTATAACACGTATAAGAGTCGAATAAGAATTTGCAGTTTACATGAAGTTCGAAATCGCCTTCACAAATTTGCAATTCCTTCTTTGAAATTAGGTGTCAGGTTCACTTCCGTAAGATGTTGCTGGGAAATTAACAAATGGCAGAATTTACTTATCAACTGGTACATTTATGTAATATTTGGAATATGCATGTTTTAGAAAAATAAAATATTAAGAAAGATGTATGCTGAAATTAACAAACACTGCAAGCGTCGGATGCCAGTCAGTATGTTCAAATCAAAGGGGTATTTACCTTTAAATAGCTATGGTTGTTCATTTGTTTATGGCTCAATTCATTCACTTCCAAGATTAATATTGACTGTGTCAAAATTTTAGTTTAAAAGTTGGTAAAAAAGACGAAAATTTCATAATATACGTGCGAATTGAAATGGGCTTTCTTTTAGGGACATCTATTATGTCAATTACGATTTTAACTGGTACTTATTTGATATGACTAAAGTTTGTCATTAAATATATATAAAAATAATATTAAACAAATATAATTATAACAACAGTAGTTAAAAAAACAAATTTTTAATTTTTTCCTTGCTATTTCCGCAGTAATTGTAACAAAAAGTATCGAATATTTAAATTTATTTTTATAATACTTAATGCTCCTTTGACAAAGATGCCATCAAGCCGAACGAAAAATTAAACCATTACAAAAGAACAAGGCTTAAATAGTTCGATAATATAAATTTTCTATTCTTAACACTAAATTGCAGAGGGTCTTTTAAATTTCCAAATCAATAGTGTCCCTAACGAAAAAAATACGAAGTACATATTTGAAACGCGCCCAGTGTTCGAAGTGTTTTCGGAGCGCGAGCATTGAAGATGCCAAGTGAGATTTTGGCGAAACGTCTGCAGGATCCCAGTCGGAGTTCAACAAGCGAACGGATGATATTCCGGAATATAGTGTCATCACATTTTTCCATCCGTGAATCAATACGTAAAAATATATCTATATATATATATATATATATATATATATATATATATATATATATATATATATATATATATATATATATATATATATATATATATATATATATGTAGCGGTAGTTTGTAAATATTACATTTGATAAAGACACGGTGTTGTCGAAACAATTGTCATGTAAAAATATATAATTTAGTGAAAATCTGAACTTTTAGTTCTAATTTATTTTAATATTTTTGTGCAAAGTATACTAGTATATTTCCTTAAAAATTTTCATTTTGAAACTATGTAAACATAAAAATAACTTTATTAAGTGGGTCATATTATTTATTTATAAATATATCATATTTTTGGAAACCCCTGCGTATGCTACACGGGGAACAAACATACAATCAGACACCCCTCGTATACAATAACGCACTGCACATGGTGGGGAAGGGGCCGCGATCCGCCTAAATCGCATCTAGGGATGTTCCCATACCATTAAAGTATCGATACCTACTCATTTCGATAGTACTCAAATCTTTTTTCCATACTACTCAAATAAATACTCCTAAAGTATCGATACTTACTCATATCGATACTTTTAGCAGTTTATTATTTTTTAATTTGTTTTAAGGAAACTAACAATGAACGTTGAAGGACAATAATTAAAACAAAACTAAGAAGAAAAAAAAACTTTTATTATAAAGATTTGCTTCACGTTAAACACGTACTTTAAACAAAAGACTCCATGATAACATTGGAATAATAAGCCGATGATTACAATAAATAAAATTATTCGTACGCAATCTCTTGTATATTTGATAATTTATGTTGGTTGGCAATGAAAAAAAATGAAGGGCATCTTTCTCGCTTTTGGCTCGGGCTCAGTCGAGTGAAGTCGAACGAGTTCGGCTTGGCTGGCGCGAGACAACGCGTCACCATAGATCAGATAGAGATGTTTGTCTGATGCTTTCGGTTTTTTTTTAATGGTGAGGATGATTCGATTTGATACCAAGTACTTTTGCTTCGATACCGAGTAAGTATCGCAAAATTGATTCGATGCTATAAATACTTGGTATCGAATCAAAAGTATCGAATACCTATTTATACGTATTTACTAGTATCGGAATATCCCTAATCGCATCACATCCGACAGAGAGTGCGGCGACTTATATTTTAATTCAATAAACTTTGTTAAAAGTTTGTACTTAGGATAATATACGACACTTTAAAGGATGAAATTCTATGAGTAAACAAAATTTGTTTTTTTTATTGTTTTATGACGTTATTTATAATTATGATGTCATATGCGCCAGAAGACATATTGAAACGGACTGAAAACAAAAATGTTAACTTGCCCGAGAGCGTACTAAGCTTCGCACAAGCCAGGATTGAAATTTATTGGCAAAACAACATATTTTAGTGGTTTAAGTCCTCTTATAATTTTTAATTGAAAGCGTGGGTTGCATTTTTCTTTGCCCCGATTTTTTTGGGCGAAAATGTTAATGAAAATGTACTTCCCCTCCTTAAATTTAAAATACATTAAAATTGAAATACACTTTATGGGTTTAGCGCGAATTTTTTCTACATTATGTTGTGTTTTACTGGTAACGATTCCGATTTGATTAATTTCGGTTAATGGTTTGGTTAGTTAGTTAACTAAAAACTTTTAGGAAAAACCAGCGATGTAATTTTATTTTCAAAAACATTCAGACGAAATCTCCAGATGTCACTTCGTTCTTTATATTGTTTACATTATGAGATTATTGTGATATTTTAAACTCAGAACTCACCTAAAACTTATCTTATTGTTGAGTAACTTAGCGGGCACCGACGCTAGGGTGGTTTTCGCGGGCCCTGAAAACGACGCCCTCGCGGTGGTGGAACTTGGCGCTGCTATTGGAGTGGGTGACGTCGGTTGACTACTCGGCGGGCCTGTTCACACGAAACCGATAATAGCCACGAAACCACGAAACTCGATGTTCCGAGAACTACCTTTGATGGTGCCGAATATTCCTGCTCCGACAGCGGTTTTAACCACCTTCGCGGCTTTTTCCTCCTTCGCTTTAAGCATAAGGATCCTCTGAAGCAAGGGGAGGCCGGCGCCTATGGGCTCGTCATTCAGCGAGGTCTCTTCAATAATAGGAGGGGGCGATCTCACATTCGAAGATTGCGGGGATAGAACGGGGGGTGTCGACGTTTTGTATCGCTCCTCGTTTTCTTGTTTTTCTTTGAGTAGCCTGGCAATTTAAGTACAAGACGTAATACAGGATGTTCGGAGACTAAAGCAGCAAACGCCACCATTTTTCTTACCCAAAAATAAATAAAACTCGATTTAAACTTCAATAACAACGGCGTGATGTAAAAGTCAATAGAAAAAGGATACTCTTGTAATTCTTTTATTCCTTTATATAAAGAGGATATGTTTCTAGCGCAATCATTCACATATTATTATTTGATGGTCAAAGAATATTTATTTCAATATTAAATATTTTTAAAAAATAAAATTTATAATTATCTAACTTCTTTAAAAAGCTCCGAAAAAACGAATACAAATTGTTATGCTTATAAATTTGGGTATTTGGGTCAATTTTTGTATTTTTTCTTGTCTCGCAGAATTATTTTTTTTGCGATTATGTCAGAAAACGCCATCTACTGGCGATCGCGACTGTAATGGCAAAACAATAATCAAACTTTTTAAAAAAGCTTCGAAAAAAGTGCATGCAAATTGATATACTTAAAAAGTCCGAACATTTAAGTGTAGACGTATTTACCTAACCAGGTACTGTAATCAATACTTTTTATTTTGTTAAAAACGAAAAAAATGTAAATATTGCTTTTAACCAAATAAAAAACCACAATACTAAAAAAGTCAAATATATTACAAGCACTTGGTTCAAAGAAGGGTAAACGTAAATGATTTCGCTAAGTATCCTCTAGCAAACTATTTACCCTCAAAAAACGCAAACAAGTAGAAACACAGAGAAATAAAGAAAATAAATTCATATTACTATCTAATTTTTTTAATTCTATTTCTAATTTTTTTAATATTATTACTTCATTAAAGGTGGCAAACAGTAGCTTAACCTGGCAAATAAATATAAATACAATACGGTCATTATTGGAAAGACGATGAGAGAATTTCACGGATTCAACTACCCCCAAATCGGAATTGCCGACAGAGAATAGATATAGGAGAAAAATAAACTGTAATAAAAAATGCATGAAAATATTCACATCTAAATTAAATTACGCATATGTGGTGGCAAAACAATGTGGATAAGTGGCTTTTTAAACATAAAAAAATATATATTTTCATCCTATCTTTCAAACTGTTGCCTTTAGAATAATATAAATGAACCGTAATAGGGTTAAATACATGACAAGGAGTTTAGTAAAGCCCTTAAATAGTTATTTTATATAGAGGGTTTTCTACACAAATTGTATTTACGGAGGAAGCGTGGTAAATGTAAAACAGATTCTGGAATTCTGGAATTGAAACCTCCAAATAATAGATTATTGTAATAAATATTAATTATAATTATTATTTTAATAATTAATGGTACGATATTTGTTTGTATTAAAAATTACAAAATATATAAAATTTTTGATATTGCTAGATGATACACTTAAGCTTAGAAGCTTCAAACTTCAACCTGCTTGATTTTTAATCCCTTTTTAACTCGAAGGTTGATGGCAATATTAAAAATTCAGACAAAAAAATAATAATTAATCCATAATAATATATATGGTCATAATAACTACAACTTATCTGGAAAATTCGTAGCTGAATATTCAAATTCGTAAAAGGCTTTCGAGGACTTCAAATTCGATTTATATTCATAGTTTATATTAAGGCCATTTTTAACACTATTATAGCAACAGATTGAAAGATACGATTATCTTAGGAAAACGTATTTTTTTAAATCTATTTCGTCCCAATAAGTTGGCAAGGTTGAATTAAAATTCAAAAATAATCAGTGTGTGAAAAACTCGTACAATGCAAAACTATATTTTGTAGTGCAACACTATATAAGATTGAGAATATTTTTATAATATATTTTTAATTATATCTTTTATATTATTTTTATTTTATTTATTTCTACGTGAAGTTAGTTAATTCGATTAAAAATTAAAATGTTGGGATAACGATATTTCAGACGGACCCTAAACGAATCGAGTTGTGTGACATCGCGATGGATCATACCTAAGTCGTTGTAAGAGGGGCAAACCCGCGCCCAAGGGGGACACTTCCGGGGCACCGGTGTGTTCGCGTATCTCTTTCTTGTCGCCGTTGTCGTGCTCCTGACTGAGGTCGTGAGATTTTACCCTTGACATCCTTTTTAGAGGACCCTTCGCGGCACCGTTATTCCCGTTGCCCTGGAGTGGTTGCAGCTCCAGACTTTCCTCGGAACGACGGTGCGTTCTCGACTTTCGCAATACGTTTTTTAAGCCCTAATGGCAAAGGAAAATATTTTGTAAATAAAAAATTTGCTGTCAGTGCCCATTTTGCTAGACGAAAAATTTATTTAATTTTTTTAAATTCAATAAATTAAATTAAGAAAGTGGGAACAGTCATCTCATCAACATCTCCCAATTAAATATGTGTGGACGCTTTCCGTGCCATCCCTGTCAGAGTAGCGGTGGACCTGTTTGTCTGCTTGGTTTACCTGTTTTGTTCAAATAGTTCACTGTGTTTTTTTTTTTTTTTCGTTGTCCGATACCTTGGAAGTTGGATAAATTTGTGCTAGAATTAGCCATTCAGTCATTGGTATTTCTTCCTAAACTTTTTTTTTAATTATTTGTTTGAAGCCATTTTCCAATTATTTACGTAAATATTTAATTTAAATATCTCGTTCCGTTGCGTTTGAGAACAAGCGGAGGAAATTTCAAACGGCACATCCGGTATTTTTCACATTTTTGGATTCAGAGGATTATTCTACTCATGCCAGGTCAATTTTATCTGCATTTTTATTATTTTTTTATTTGATATTGAAAAATGTATCCTGGATATATGCAGCAATAAGAAAATTTCCAAATAAAACTCTACCTGATTATCAAAAGGTACTAGCATCTGAAAGAATGCTAGTACAACAATGCAACAAGTGCGGTAAACGGCATTTGACTCACGAGTTTATTTGACACGAGCGGAGCGAGTGTTTAATAAACGAGTGAGTTAAAAAGTTTACCGAACGTGTTGCATACTATACTTTTTCTACGACCGTTAGTTTTTGGGTACATTTTCGTAAAACAACACGAATACATTCACTGACATGACCGTCAGAATTAACAAACGTCCAAGTTCACAGCGTAGGTAATATCTCCGAGAACATCCGATTGCTGCCAAATCCGTGGGGTAAAATCTCGGAAATGTTCGAAGTGGCTCGGATTCGTGAGAAAGGAAAGTGACGTGGTAAAGTGATGCTTCCCGCACGCTAGATCCGTGAGTAATTAGGTATTTTACAGACGGGAGTAGAAAAACTAATATGAAATCGTTTTGTTAAGATGAATGTGATGAGTGTGATAATTTGAAAAAAGGAGGAAAACCGTATCCTTGAAAAACACTATCTTGAAATTGAACCAAAACTAATTTTATGTATACCTTTGGAATTAAAATAATATTTTTAACTAAAATTTCAGTAGATTGAAATGAACCCTGAATAGAAGAAACAATTACCCGATTTTATTTTCTGTTAATTTTACCGCATTCTGGGAATATCGATTTAGTTCTCATTCACAGTGAATATCACTGACGAAACGTATGTGGCCTATTACACTACCTTTCCTTTATCATGCTGTATTTTCTGCTATATACTAAATAAACAATGGAAAACTCCAGTTTTGCTGGAATTAATCATTAATTTGAAAAGAAATACTTTAGCATCGGCTGGGGAAAATATTGCCTTCTAAGTTGTACTTATTGTTACCATAATTTCGCTGGTATTTATTTTATAAAACTCATCACACAAATATTCGGAAACTTTTCAAAATTCTTATCGCTTACTCTGTTTGTATAAACATGATATGTAAGTTTTTGATTAATATTTCAAACATTCTATTACCGATATTGCCGACTCTGAGTCATGCAAAAGCTTGGGTCTCACTCTTGATTCACAGTTGCGGTTCAGAGAACATATTACTAACAAACTAAGGGTTGCCTATGCTAATTTAAAATTAATTTATGGCAATAGACATGTACTTTGTCAGGGAACTCGTAAGTTGCTGTGTGAATCACTTGTTCTGTCACAATTTAATCACTGCAGTACTGTGTACGGACCGTGTCTGGATGCGTCCGATCGTTACCGTTTCCAGAAGGTTCAAAACGCCTGTCTAAGGCTAATTTATGGGGTAAGGAGGAGAGATCATATCTCCCCGTACCTTGCTGCGTCGGTTTTGGCTTAATATGCACCTTCGATGCAAATTACGAATGAGTTCTCTTTATTTCAACATTCTTAAAACAAAATTACCTTTTTATCTTTACAGAAAAATTACTCTTAACATATCAATAAACAATTTGAATCTGCGTGGAAGACACCCCGTCACCGTAAAGAATTATTTAAAAGATCATATTCCTATAATATAGCCATTTCCATTAACTCTATTAGTAATTTTAATATTAATCAGTCCAATTCAACGGTTAGGAATAATTTCAAAAAGCAGTTGTTACGTACGCACTAATATTAAGCTCTTTTACAAAACATGTGCCCCTTTCCTTTCCTTCCCCATCCATTTCTTCTCCTTTCTTTTCTTTAGAATTACATGTTATCTACGCTTGGCGCTTTCAAATAAATTCTATGAAATTTTTTATTATTATATTTTCGCTGTTAAATTGAGGCCTGAACAGTATCTAGAACTTCTAGATGGTTTCCCTAACAAGGCCTATTGTTGACCATTATTTCACTTATTTAACTTTGGTTATGAAATTATTTCTATGTAATTTTGATGGTTATAACAATAAATGTATTATTATTATTATTATTATTATTGTTAAAATTTTTAAGAATACTTAAAGCAGATATTTAGCACCAAGTGGATAAGAATTATTGTGCCCAGTGGCGTCTTTGGAGACGCTGCTGCGCCGGTGACATTATTTATATGTTGATATATTTTTTTCAGAATAAGCAACTAAAAATAAGGCCTTTATGTATTTTGAAGTTTCTCTGTGCCTCGCTTCACTTTTGTCGAAAACAAATCACTTTGAAAAAATGAAAAAAACGGTTATGGATTTAAAGTTATCTTTTCGAAGAAACTTCCACGGGGTGCCACTACCATCTTGAATCTAGAAAATAAGGAAGGCATTTTAGGGCGTTTTACGGCCCATAAATAATAAAAATGAAATGAGATATAATAAAAAGCCAAGAGAACTGGCGGTTTCATTTTTACTTATTATGGACATAATAATTCTAATGTACTTGGAGCTAAAGGAGTGTTTTATAACAAGAAATACCACTGCCAAAAGAATGTTTGAATAATAACAAACAAGGATTCAAAAAGAAACATTGACACTATGTGAAAACCAAATCTTTAACTCCCTTAAGTTTAGCATATAGTTTTGTGTAAGTAAAACCCCGTCGATTTATTTTTGTTAACTTGTTTTTTTGTGAAAAATCTTCCTCGGGTCTACTGTTCAATCCAGAAAGTGGAATTTTACGTTGGTAACTACAGCTTTCGTGTAGTGTTCGTTACCATAAATGGCGGAACACCTGATTTTGACAGAAATTTAATTAAAATTTACCAGAAAAAGTGAGTTTTCACTTATGTTTTGTAGTGTTATCGTCAAATATGGTCCTCGGAGCTATTGTTTAAGTCAAAAAGTAAGGTTTTAGGCAGCAGTTTAGGGTTTACGGGTTTGATGTAGTTCTCGCTAGAATAAGTTGCAGAACACTTGCTCTTGGGAGGAATTTAATCAAAATTAACTAGGCACTCATATTTTGTTGTTTCTCGCCCGAAACGTCCCTCAGAGTGAGTTTTTTTTGTTTGATATGTGCAAGATTGATGTAATGTGACTGGAACTTGATCAAAATCAACTATAAAAAATGGAATTTCATTATTTTTTGTAGTTTTTCTTATCGTAAGTTCTCCCTGGAACTACCGTTCAAAAAAAATTGGGATTTTAGATTGATAACTAGTTTAGGTCTAACCAATATTCGCTTCTAAAATTTGATAACCTTCCTAGTGATGAAAAACAGTTCCGTTTCAAAAAGTACGTTATAAATTTTGCAAAAAAGGAAGGAAACTCATCAAACGAATCGACATTAATCCCTTGACGCCAACAACACATAAAAAATCGAATGGACAAAGTTTTTAATGGGGTTGAAATTGGACGAAAAGTTCCCTAGTTTTTAATGCGGTGTGAAACATACCGCTACATCGCAGATTAGTAAATAAAAAGCACGCAGAGTACTTACTTTTGCTTCGCTTTTTATTTTATCCACCAATCCCTTATTATCGAGGTGGTGGGACGCGTGATGATGTTCACCCTTATGATGGGGAGGGTGCTTCGCGCTAGCTTTGACCTGTAAAAGCTGCCCATGTAGAGACAAGTGCACTAATGAGTACTGTAAAATAATCCTAGATCGACATCCATATTGGAAGAAAAGTATAGAACATAGACGAAGAGAGAAGACCACACAATACCCGTTATTACATTAAACAGAAATATACATTAATTAAACGATATTCGATGCGGCGCACATTCGAAATTCAAATTAAATGTAATTAACATAACAAAATGTTGCAAACCGAAACTGACAAGTTGTGTTTATTTTATTCCCGCACAACATTTCATTCGAATTGACAGCGAAAATAAGAGAGGAGAATAGCCACGGGTTATTATACGCCATATGTTACCTCCATCAGCCTTTTTCGTCCGAGCGCCTGCAGAATTTCCTGAGCTTCGGGGTAATCTTTCATTGCGGCCAGTACATCCTCGCGAGACAATGAAAACAGTTCCGAATAACCCACGGACCTTACATCGGCCGTTCTCCTAAAACAAATTGTTAGTAACCGAGGGCAAACGATTTTATTTTTCGAAATCAAATCGCACGTGTTCCTCGAAATTTTGGGTAATTACAAATAACCTAATATTGGATGTAACAATGAGTTTCCATGAAGTAGAAGTGCTTTTACGTTAAACAAAAAAACTGGTAACAGGTCTTAGGAGTAGATAGATTGTTAAAAAATGCTAGTGCGAGTGAGTCCTTGGGGCCTCATAATAATTTTGTAGAAACATACACTCTTTAAATAATTAAGGCTCACAAAATAGGTTCGAGTTGCATTTTTCTACCAAATTTTCAGACAAAGCCTTAATAAAACCTTTGAAATTAGAAAACATCATGCAAATCGGTTCATTTATTCGTCAGTTAAATTTATTGCTTGCACTTCCTACTGCTGGAAATGGAAACTCTTTTGGTACAACGAAAGTTTGCAAAATTTGAATTTAAAATCTTTGATTGTTTTTGAATAATTGATTTTTAGCTGTTTTTAAATTGTATTTCGCCATAGTTCCACGTTGTGCGGGTGCGCAAATGAAGGCTTATAAATGTATCATAAAAAAAGTTATGATAGATTAATTTTATATTGTTCAAAACAATTTTTAAAGTTGACATTCATTAGTTTGTTACAAACGACTGGAATATATTAGCAACAAAACAACAACAAACATCCCAATTGTAATAATTGGACTTTGGAGAATTATTTTTTTTAGTTTATTTGGCACGAACGGAGCGCAGCGGAACCAGGCTATCGCAGACTACTGTGATACTATTTACAAATGTTTTGCATTCGTAAAGCCTTCCTAGTGTATAGGAAGGTGACGGAGACTTTTTGTGTAATGGTATCGAAGGTAGCCATCAGAATTTTGATGTTTGTTGTTGTTTTGTTGCAACAAATTGGCCGAAGCCAACTTTTAAAATCTTAAAAATCAGTTAGCTTGATTATGACAATTTGAAGATACAATTTCTGTAAGAGTTGTTGCAGAACACAAAGGTTGACTGTTATTTCTGTATCGCTCTGCATAAACTCCCGCAGCAATTACTACAAATATAACAGTTCAAACGTCCCTTTTTTATTTTTAATTTAATAACTATAATTAATAATAATATTAATATTAATTAATTATTATTTCCCATTTTTTAAGTGGGCATTCTAAATTACATTTCTTAATATATTGATATATTATTATTATAAATTATTATTATAAATTTCTTGATAAATTATGTGTAGGTATGAAATAATGTGATTTAATCTCGGCAGGTGTATTTTTTAAAGCGTTGTTTCCGATTTTGTGATAAATTTGTCGTACAGGGTGTTTCATAACCTAACCGTCATAGAGCAACAGTCCATATAAAAGTGGAATTGGAACTGTGGAAAAATTGAAATTAACGGCTAACGATGAGACGGACGGAAGGATCGCGGGAGGTAGAGAAAATTTACGATAAAACTTGAAAATTGATATAAATAATTTCATGACGGGTCCACTAATTACTTGCACATTGATTTTGCAGATTCAAACAAAAAAAAAACAATCAATTTAGAATAACATTTTCATCATAACATCTTAAATAATGCCTTGGTTTGTAGTTCACGTGCTGAAACGACGGGTCTGAAACTCCTTCTGATGTCAAAACCATTAAAGGTTGTAAAAATGGTATATATTTTGCGTAAAAACAAAAAACAATCACCCAGGATAGTTATAGCTTTCAGTGAAATCAATGAAAGTTTTGGAAATGTTCCCCAAAAATGTCTATTCTAAATACGCCGGTTCTCAAATTGTTGAATTGGAAAATTTCATCCATACTCTCAGATAGTAGGTATAATAAATACAGGAGATAGAAAACAAAGAAAATCTACAGTATCATTTGTCAAAACACAAATTTAATGTAAAATGGGGTGACGTATTGCCTAAAATGGCAACATTTTAGGCGTAACATGTCACCCGATTATTAAACTAAATTTATCTTTTGATAAATGTATTGTGGACCCCACTCAAATTTAAACCAAATTTATGGAGCTCAAGATTGGTACAGGGAGAAAAAGCAAACGAAACTTACGAGTACAAGTGGGGACTAACAAGATATTTGGGAATACTAATACGCAACAAATCTGAAGAGGATGTTAAAGGAGGTCTCGAGGGCAACGCAAATCAGACTCTACAAGATAGTGGTCCAACCAACTTTAATTTGCTGTTGAGAGACATTGGCCCTTAGTTAAAAAAAACAACAGCAACTAGGTATACGGGAAAGAAAAGTATTAAGACGATCTTTGACGGGAAGAATACGAGCCTGGCTGGGAAAGAAAGATGAATATTTGGAGACAAGCCAATCGAAAAATTTGTTCAATGGCTAGGGCACCTCACCAGGATGGAAAATAATAGAGAAGTAAAGGAAGCGGCATGCAAAAAACCAGAAGGTAGGAGGAAGCGTGGTAAACCAAGGAGAATATGGAGGGAAGCCGTGGAGGAAGATTTAAGAGAAGGATTATTAATTGGAGAAATATAGCAAGAGATAGAATCGAATGGAGGAAAATTACAAGCTCACATACAGGTCGGTAGTTATGTGCGGAATAATGTTTTTCGTGGAAAATCGACATTAACCGCGCGTTGGCTTTTACATTTTCAATACTTACTTATTCAATCCGTCCAGGTTGAGGATCCCAATTTCTCCGAAAAAGTCTCCCGCTTTCATTGTCGTGAGGACCTTGCCGGTTTCGCTGATAACCTCTAGAATCCCGTCAGCTATGATGAACATCTCCCTCGCTACCTCACCTTTACGGCATATCGAGTCGCCCGGCGTGAAAATATACGCCTTCATTTTCAGCACGAGATCTCGCAAAAACTCCGGCTGACACTCTTGGAATATCGTCACCTGCATTACGACGAATTTTATCCGACACCCGACTGCGACGAGCGGCCGAGTCGAATAGTCTAAAAGCTCTTGGCGGCGAAATAAACTACTCACAATTCGAAACGGATAAGCAAAAATTGCGAATTGTTTTCGGAGCATCGATTTCAGAGGTACGTATTGGGTTTTCCTAGAGTCTCGGAAAAAAATGGTACTTTCGAAGTAGTAAATAAATAGCATGCTTCTTTTATTTATTTTTTATGTATTTATTAAATATCATTTCATTATTTATTAATTAATTTAATAAAAATGTCGTCAAATACGCAGTGTTTCACAAAAACGTTTTTTTCAAATGGAAACCATGAATTGAATTGAATTAAATTGTATCACGACTTCTCCAACTTATTGGGAATTAATAGCATATCTTTAAAAAAAAAATGCGTTTATCTTTCAATCTGACGCCGTTTATAAAATTAAAAATGGCCGTTAATATAGTCAAATGTTGAGTTTAATCTACCGCGTCACTAATTACTTCATACAGGGGGGTTTCTAACCTCTTGCTAATTTCTCTCTGATTTTTTCAACACGCCCTCCCAACTACTTTGCCGTCTTCAGCTGTGGCACCTCTACCACATGCTTTTCAATCATTAGTCATTTAAAAAATACGTTATATACGTTATTATATATTTATAATTTCAAATTATGCAATCGATTTAATGCGCTGTTTGCTCAAAAATGCATCAACAGCGAAAACACATGCCAGGTGTGTTCATATTTTTTGTTATGTTGGTACACATGTTCCTATCATATGTTAACAGTTTCAGCCACTTTCCACGTATATATTTTTTTTTGTGAAATAGAAGCTAGTGAAACTTGTTTACTGTTTTCTTTGATTATCGTGGCGTATTACACCTAGAGTTTTTACCTCAAGGTCGTACGGTCAATAAAGAGTATTATCTTGAAATTATGCACCCTTTGCGGCAAGTAATACGAAGAAAACGTCCGGCATTTTGGGAAAATAATTCATGGATTTTGCATCACCTGCTAATTCATCGTTGCTTGTGTCTAACTTTTTGGCCAAAAACAGAATCACCGGATATGACCCCCTGCGACTTTTTTCTGTTCCCAAAACTCAAGAAACTCATGAAAGAAGGTTTGGAACGATTAGGGAGATAAAGAAGAAATCGCTGGAAGAACTAAAGGCTATACCAGAAAGTGCTTCAAGAATCGGAAAACAAGTTAGCACAAGTGCTGATGGGGATTACTTTGAGGTCGACAACATTAATTTTGATAAATAAATAAATACTTTTTGATGAAAATTCAAAGTCGTCTTACTTTTTTTTGAACACACCTCGTATATTTCAGAACATATTTTTTTGGATTTTATGAACTATTTATTTAAACATTATTTTAAAATAGTGCTAAATAAGTAGGATGTTGTACCTTGTATATCCGTGTTTGCTCCGTTGTATGATTGAAAGGTTTTTGAATACCTACAAGGTGGTATATTCTTGGAAGCGGCACTCAACTTGACTCTAGACAAATTTTTGTTCTAAGTAAATAAAAATCCCTCCAACCACCTCCAAAAAATATGCTATAGGTATTAGATAGCGCTAACGGCCTCACGACTTTTTTAATTGTACTTAGCGTTCAATTCGTTATGGGAAGGAAACTTAATAAAATAACAAAAAAAAAACAAAGGAAAATAAAACTTTGACATCCTGTACTTTGGTAATAAAGAAACACTTTCAAGAAAAGAACTCGTACCATGCTGTAGCAAAAAGATTATTAGCACACTTGCCAACAATGCAGTTACTTTCACTTTTATGTTGAGTGCTGACATCCTTGATAACTAGACAGTATAGTGAACAGTTTTAAAGTAAAATCGTTTTCTTTTGATAACGCTAACATAATGTAGATTGTTTTAGTATAAGAGTGAAGTTTAAAAGTCTGTACCTTCTTCAAGACGCTTAAATTGACGTGAAGCGCTAGCTCGGTCTTCAGCTTGTCTGGTAGAAGTCCCAAAGCTGTATTAATGTCACCGCCGCCCTGAATTCTTCCTCTGGACCACGAGTAATCGTACCACCGCAGAACCCTGCGTTTCATACCACCCGGGACCTTTAAATAAAAGAAAATCGTCAAATACATGTCACTATTTTCACCAGCGTTTGCAATGTACCGTGCAGTTTTTACATGGAGAAAAGAAAAGTGATACCAGTGTGACAGAGAAAGAATGCTTTAATAGCAATCTGAGTGCATCACAGTTTTCCGATGAATTGAGAAAACTAATATTCCATATCAATTGTCAGTTCATGGTTGAAGCAAATGTGACGATTTTTAGGCGTAACTTTAACCATAAAATGTTTTGGCTTAAATTTAAACGGCGTGAATTCCAAAAATTCTAAAAGCAATCAACAGAAATTGCAAAAAATGTGTGCCCTTTAAAACGCGGGCATATTTGATGACTGACAGATATAAATTTCAAAACCGCTCGTTACTGCAAGGGGCAGTAGGACTAGCGAGAATAACCGCGATGCTTTTGAAATATCGGTTCGGCCATGCCAGGCAGTGTTTTTGTGGACCATTCGGATGAATTATTACCCGGTAAAACTGGGTCGGGAACATATTTTATATGATCCGACGCGATTGTTGTACACTGAAACGTCAATATCATAATAATAGAAAATGATAATTTACGGTCTGATGTCTGTTATTGAATCCGGTCAATGCTCTTAATATACATTTTGTAACACCAGGGCATAAAACAAACTGTACTCCAAATGGACGTATCTAGAAACTTGAACATTGCTTCATTTCCATATATTACATTTTTAATAGCATCATCGTTTTTTAAATCACTGGAGAGATAAATGTTATTGTACAAATAGTCCCACTAAATAAACTAATTGTTAACAAAAAAATGAACTTTAATTATAATTTGGAAGTTTTCGTTAAGTTTGTTTTTTATTAAATTTAGCGACTTTTGAACTTGAAGATTCAGCTTTTGTAATAAGTTGCTTTAAAAACAATATCCATATCTATTGCCATATCATCGTTTAAAGTGCCAATAGACGCAACTTGCAAAAGTCCTCAACTAATGTGTTGTTACTGTCTATGTTGTTCACTTAACATGCCGCCAAACAAAAAATAAAAATTTTAAATCAAAAATAAAAAGATTGACTAGTTTTCATTTATACAGATTATGACCTTCCTTTTGAATATGACAAAACATCCTACAGATAAAACTCCGAAATTTACACAGAACACTTCAATTAGTGACTATAATATTAACGGGTATTAACTTTTATGTCTGTAAATTTTATTTTATAATAACTTTTAATAATTAATAGGTACTTGTTTGCTTGTTGGTGATATATTAGCAATTACGATCGTCACGCTTAATTATAAATTATTTTGCTGCTGTTATGCAATAATTTCTGTATCATTATGAAATATAGATATACATTTTATTGACTATATTTCAGCTGTATTGTTATTCGCCGCTTCTGTTAAAACATGTTTCAAAATAATTTTTTGAAGCACCTTACATTTTTTTATATTAATTTAAATTAAAATCGGACTAACCAAATTGCTGCCGAACATTTACGATATTAACGTGCACGTCTCCTTTACAAGTGATGTTATTGGTACGAGTGTTATCCAATAATCCATAGAAAATCCAAGATATACTAGTATCGAAAATATTTTTTTACTCCTAACTAGTCAGTTGTTTTAATCAAAATCTCTTCTGCCTCCGTTACATAGTATAATTAATTGTTCTTGACGGTTGAAGTAAACAACTGTAATTTAGATATAAGTGAGTTTTGAGCGGTGATTTGATTTATGACACATCTGCTGCTGTGTTTGCAACTGTTTATAATTGGACGAGTGAGTTTGAATGCGGCCGTACATCCACAAAGGATGAATACAGAGCCGGATGTCCTGTGGAAGTGTTGAAATCCGAAATGATGACAAAATCCAAGATATGATTTTAATTGACCGACAAGTGCGCGAAATAGTTGATAGTGCCAAGACAATCTCGACAAGATGGGTACCAAATTTGCTCATAGTGCATGGTCGGCTTTGAGGCTGTTTTGAAGCTTTTCCGTCGGAGTCCTGATGAGTTTCTGAGTCGATACATAACTGTTGACGAAATATGGATAAATTACACTCCAAAAACAAAAGAATACTCTTAACAGTGGAATTTTCAAGGTGAACGGGTTCCATAGTCTTTTGGGATGCTGTCGGAATCCTCTATCTTGGTTACTTGAAATGCAAATAGAAACGATAACAGGAGCAAGGAAATCAAAGAAAAACATCTTGATCTGATCACTACACCGCTACATACCTGCAGTTGCGATGGCCAAAGAACTTATTGAACAATCGTCGTATATCATTGGTTGCGATAGTTGCTCATTCCTCCATAAAACCAAAGGAATCCGGCGTTTCAAACACAAATAACCCATTATTTCAGACACAATGACGGAGTCGTTTGCACGAACGGAAATCTAAGTCCATAAATCTATTTTCGCGATTACAGCCGGCACGTTAGGGCGTTATTTATTAGAAAAAGAAAAATAAGTTATATTCGCAAAGTCCGCAACACCGCGCGGACTCCCTAACGCCTTAAGTTTGAAGTGTTCGAGGAAATAAATTGAACGAGGAGTCGGTTGTTTTAACTTCGAAAACATTTCGTTCGCGTGGGTATACTGTCGGAAAACTTTTTTACTCAAAGACAATTGAAAAAAACTTCGTGGGAAATTAGCCGTCGATTGTGTTTACAGTTGAATGGAAAATGTATAATTCGTGTTCACAGGAAATTCATTAGCATGTAAAATTACCCATGGGGATTTCCTGAGCTCATACAGAGTAGCTATTTTATTGCAGGCATATCTCCTAAACTAAAGTCTAAAAAAAAGTTTATACAAGATTTGTAGGTGTAACGCAAGGATTAATTTTATTATGTCTTCATATATACAGGGTGTTGGTTCGATCTGTCACATTTTTAATGGAAAACTCCATATATTATTAGACACATTATTACATTATAAATGCGGTAAATATATATTTTTTAAACCTGCTAGGTTTAAGCAGAATACAAAAGCTTGCTTCAGCTACACATACTCACAATTTTAATTTTAAAAATATTACAATATTACTGAGTTTTTTAATGTTTTAAATAGAATTATAAAAACCATTTTTAAACTTGAAACTTAAAAAACATATTAAATTGAAAAACATGTTGATTTTTTTTAATCAGCATATCCTAAAGTAACAATAACGTCAAAAAGTTTATACAGAGTATTACTTAGCAGAAGTATATCCCCAAACATTAAAGAAACAGCTCTCAAAAGTAAAATCTGCTCCACTTATTATTTCAAACATCATTTTTGTTTTTTTGTTTTGTGACTAAGTATTTACGCCTTTTTTTCTTAGCGTAGGTAGATTTTTAACTATTTTTTTTTTGATAATATTTTTTTACGAATGCCAAATTGTAACAACAAGATTGCCCAAATGAAAACAAATTATAACGCATATTAAATTGTCTTTCAAACAGCATTTTTTTATCTGATCAGCGCGCAAGTTTATATTCGTGTTAATTGAATGCCATTTAAACGACGTAGAGACACGGGATTTTAAAGCTAATGGCGTATGCATTGTAGCTCTCTACTGCAGGATTCTTTTACAGTTCACTTTATTGAAAAATGTTACATTCAATAGCTGCATGCGATAAAATAGTTGCCATTGTACCAGGGTATCTTGTAAGTATAAAAGTAAGTATATTAAACGGGTTCAAAAACAATCTATTAACTTCGCTATTTTTTACAGTCTTCACCAGCAATGTTTTTTATTTATAAAAATTTCTGATTTTGATGAAATCTTTAAAAGAGCACTTTTTTGAGCCAAATTTTCTCAATTTTGTGATATCATTCTTCGTTTTCCCTATGCGAGCGATATGCGTGTTAGCCCTTTTCATCACTAAAGTTTAAAGACACTACGTTCATACTGAAGGAACATAAATGAAAATGAAAAATAAGAAACAATATTAAGATCTTTCATTCTTTCATTACCCTACATCATTGAAGAGGGTTCAACATCTATATTTGTACGTAATTTAATAAAAACAAACACTTGCTTTAAGATCACCACACACATGTTTATTGCTTTGACAATTGTTTCCGTGCATTGTACCTTCTTCAGAAATAATCTCTAAACTAAAAACTGAGTTTAGAGATTGTTTCTGAAGAAGGTACAGTGTACCGAAACAATTGTCAAAGCAATAAACATGTGTGTGGCAATCTTAAAGCAAGTGTTTGTTTTTATTAAATTACGTATGTAATGGATTATCATCAAGTAACAGTCAACTCAATCAAATCTCTATTTGTTTTAAGACCAGACAAGTTTAAAATTATAACATTAATCAAGTTAAATAAACAATAAAAACTTAATTTAGTGAACCTTCATTCCTGTCTTTCCTTTCATTGCAATTTGTTTGATTAATTTATTTTAAGATTCATTAGCTAGGTTAAATGTTTAATATAAATTAAAATATGACACACTTAAAGATAATTTTAAAACAAAAAGATATCGAATACGCGGTGCCGAAACTTCCAAAAATTTAACCAAACTAATCAATAGAAAAATAAAAACATTGATCATAAGCAATACTTAGTGTTTTGAGAAATACTACAAACATCTTCAATTCAATTACAATAAATATTACAAACAAAGAACAGTGCTTGTTGGTATTTTCTAATCCAAAAATCTTATGAATTGTAAAGTATAATCGCAATATTTTAGTAATTTTGGATAGCAGATGTTTACTGTGAATTTAAAATTTTAAAATAGGATGTAGTTAGTAAATTCGTCAAAAATTGAACAATATTTATATACTTTAAATTTTAAATCTGCTCTTTTTTATGTAGTTATGTGCACAAATTTATCAACCAAAGGTGGCCACAATAAATAAACTGGATGTCCTCGAAAGTGGAGTAGGATAAAGCAAACTCAACTAAGTTTTCACACGACTTAATAGTGATTGAGAATTTGCTGCAACCATCAAGAAAAGAAAAATTGTATACTATCACCATGCGCAACACAACATACCAGATTTTGCAGTTGATGATCGACAACGGAAAAAAAAAATAGAATTTTGAATTGCTTAAAAATCGTTATAACAATTTACACCACAATTTTATATACGCGCTTTTTATGCAGTGATTATTTATACTAGTGGAAAAATATAGAGTTCAGATTTTATGAAAAAACATCCTTTTTATTATTAGGAATATCAACCCAACATTTTGGATATACCCTACATATTTCGCATAAAATGAGGCTTTAGTACATATTTTTAGTTGTACATGAAGTGAATATTTTCTATTTTTCGAACATAAAATCGCATATTTTTGACCCATTCATTAGTTTATTACTGGGATTTTCCAAACGGATAAGATTAAAAATGAAATGTATCTGCAATATTTATTTTTCAATTTTTCCAAGCATTTTAAACATTTTATTTGCTAACCGAGCGTCCGAGAACTACCATTGAACTCAAAATGGTGAAAGTGAATTATCATTTGGTGTCTGTATGGTTTAAAAATCATCCAGAGTCATCTGAAGTATTCTACAAGGCTTATGGAAAAGTGGTGAGTTCGCATTAATTAATTTGAAATATGTAATTGAATATATTTTAAACATTGCTATAAAAACTCATTATATTATAAAATTTTAAATTTTTATATCAAGCTGATTTATTATTAGATAATCAATAGTATACATTATGTTAAAATGAGTATTTATTTTTAAGGTTACATGTGAGAAAAAATCACAAATAGACCAGCACGTCACCACTGGAAAACAAAAGTGGATAGAAGAGAATAAAGAAGAATAAAATTTCGCAGAGTTATTTGCAACAGTGGCATCTTCAAGAATAACTGATCAAGACAATTTTAATTTACACTTATGTGAAGCGCTGTTCCAAGCAGAATAGGGAAAATTATTCTTGATAAATTTAATTGTGTAACAACAAAAAATGCAGGGTTTCGAAAGTTATTTAAAATTTCAAAAATTTTATCATTAGATGCGACGGATGATAATGATTTACATTATTTGGAATCAGGACATCCTGCACCATTTAAATTCGAGCCAATTATTTCGGTAGACGTCGAAAGGACGTTCTCTAAGTACAAAAGCATAGTAAGCGACAAAAGACAAAAATGAACCATAGAAAATTTAGAACAGCATCTGTTTGTCAATTGATACAATAATAATAGGTCTGATGGTAAAACTATAGGTATAACTATATAGACATAAATTACTAATTTATTATTGGCTGATGTTAATAAATGCTCTTAATTAGGTATTATTATTTTGATGTCCAAAAAATTGTAAATATAATGTCGTAATTTTTTTCGTTGTTTGACTATTCTTTCCTTGATTTTCAGTAAACAATATATGTAAAAAATAAAGGGCCTAAAAGTACATAGATGGTAGAAAAAAGCATATATTTGACATATTTTAAGCATTTTCTGTGCATAAAATTCCAAACTCCGAACTTATTCTTGACCTAGAGGGACGCATTGTTTTTCTATCGTGCTCCTGCGGACCACTATGGAACTTTCGCAAAATCGATGTTATTTTATTGTGAATACACCCTGTATAAAGTATCCTTCATATATCGTTGAACTTCAAAATTACGCCAAACTTCAGTAAATATTAAAATCAGTACAGGTAATTGCAATATAAAATTATATTTTTTCAAATATCTCGCGCTCCCTGCATTATAGACGAAACCTTAAACTCTTCCTCGACACAGTTTACGATACTGTTCATATCAAATTATCACATCTTTAAAAGTTTTTCATGTATCGCCAATACTTCACTCACAAAAGCGGAAATTTCTAGGATCTATTAGAATTTTTTGCCCACATATAATTCCAACAATGTTCGAAATAGAGGATATAGCTCTGGATCTCCTTAGTTTCCTGGTATCCGAATTTTTCCAATGGAGTAAATGGTTTTCAAAAAAAGTACTTGTTTTCTGAAACCCTGCAATACGCTGGAATTGTAAATGACGTTATCGGCTCTAGATTGAGGGCGAGAAATGGTGATTTTCATTTGGATTTTTTCAAATGTCTCGAACAGCGTATGTGATAGACGGATCAGCTATTGTTTGTACGAATTTTGATTTACGGTTAACAATTTACTCTCCAAAAGAACAATTTTTCAGTGTCTTTGAGATTTTTGTCCATAACTAAAACACCTTGTATATAATCAAAGAAATGCGTGAAACAAAAGTTATAGCGCCGGGTCTCCCACGTATTACTAATGTAAAATTTTTCCGATCGGATGAATGGCTTTGGAGGAAAAGATGTCTTTCTGGATGCCAAAATAACCAAAAATAAAAAAAATACTTCACGTTATTTTATTGCTCCCAATTTAAAGAGTCTAAATGCGGGTCCAGACGTCTACTTCTCTCCCAAGTCTGAAGTCGGTAGCTGCAAATTTGGAGTACTTATTATGTTTTTTAATATTGCACGGAATATCGCGAACACCCTGTACAATACCTGAAAACCGTAAATACAATAGTTTAAGCTGTCTATATGGACTATATCGTCATGTAAAAGAAGCTGACACCTAAAACACAGATTTGAAATTATTGCCAATTTTCAATAATAGGGAGACCCATTTTTCATTTTTTTGAATTTGCGGCTCATCTTGTATATTTTTGAAAAATTATCACGAATAAAAGTTTATAGAGCCGTATCTTCTGCTTGATCTGGTTCAAGAATTTTTTTGGTCTCGTGAGCAGTTCTTGAAAAATGATGTTTTTTGTAGACCCTTACACGCGCGATTTTTAATTTTTTTAGTATACTTCCCGACCATCCAGCTTCCCCCCCCCCTCCCATTTTCAATAGGTTCCATCATGGGGCAAAGCTGCATATATGTGCCAATATGAAGTCGATTGCTTCAAATTTCGGACATTTATCGTGTTTCACAGCAAGGTTCAAAAAAACAGTCGAAAATCGCGAAAAAAAAAGATGGATACCGGCGTCGGATCAGGGCCATTTCTTACAAGCTTATGTGCCTCGTGGAGGGTTAGAAAGGAGGCAAATTTCAATTACGTAGCTCCAACGGTTCGAAAGTTATTCAGGAAAAACCAAAAGACGAGAACGGAGAACGGACAGACAAAAAAAATTATTTTCCGACGGTGATCATTTTTGTACCAACGGCGATTCCATAGGACCTACCGTTATCGTGATATAAAATTTTTATACGAGCGCAGATGCTTTCGACAATTCGATTTCATCGATTCGATTTGGATCCGAAGGTCAAAATTCGCACCGCAGATACGTTTAAATCTTACCTTGTGATGCCTCATGTATGTTTTGGCGCCGTCTAGCAGCCGCTCGAACTCCAACCGGTTGGCATTTCTGTTCGTTATCACGTTGCCGACTTGTCCGACAATCGTTGCGAATATAAAAACTCCTATAAGATAGCTCACTATTGTAAAAATATATCTGAAAGGAAAAAAAAAAGTCGTTTAGAAAAAAAGTATCCAGTCTCGCCGTCCAACCCGACTAGTTAATGCTTTCGAACAGACAAACCACACGGATCGCTTCCCATAATTCGGTAAGAAAACAAACACAGCACTAGCAAGCACAAAAAGTGATAACATTGGCAGCGGCAGGTTTGTCTGATAAAAGCAAAAACCGTATGTAGTGTATAAACCGAAACGTGATAGCGTCCCGATAGGAATAGGGGTGGAGCAACCCTCGATCCTGCCGCTGCCAGTGGCGTCTGTTCAAGGGGGTGCCGAAATTAAAATTTTTATTGGTGGGGGAAATGAGTGTTTTTTTTTCGTTACCCGTTACTGGTGGAGAACTGCAGCAGACGAGATTTAACGCCTCTGCGCGGCAGCGACCGAGGCCCGTCCACGGAATCCGTCTTCCTGTCAGAAATAAGTGAAAAATATAGTATACTGTGCAACAAGTTCGGTAAACGCCGCTACAGCCAAGAGTTTGTTGTGGCGCCAGTGGATCGAGTCACTTACCAACGTGTTGCAAAATATAATTATAAAGGCCTATGAGTTTTTGCGTAAATCTTCGCAAAATAGCACGTCCATACAGCACAAACATGTACTGACTCGCAGCTTAAATGATGCAAGTAATGACAAGGTAAATAGTGCCCCAGTATCTAACAAGAATGAATAAATGAACACAATTTCCCAGGAGTATACTAGAAATTTAGTTGAATCAATACCCAGAAGACTACAAGCCGTTATCGATAATGAGGGTTAGGAGGTCCGACTAAATATTAGCTGAAGTATTTTAAATTATGCAGTTGTTTTTCTCCATTAATTTGGTCATATTATGTTTTGCATCATTAAGCTGTGACGTTAATATCGCATATAATTAAATAAATTCTTCATTGTTAACTAAGTAAGGCATATTTAAGACAAAAAGTAATTCACACTTTTTTAGAAGGCTCTTTACCAACTTAATTTCAATAAGTTGTTTTTTTCAAAATAAATAAAGAGAGGTTCAGACCAGTTAGCGTTGTTATAGCGACCGCATCATTTAAGCTGTGTACTCCAGTCATAGCTGTTATACAGTTACGTCAGGTATAGTGAAGTAATCAAAAATGATCCGTAGGTCTTAATTATATTCCTGCCATGACCATACATCACGATTTCCAAACTGCCAAACAAAATTCCTGTGTCAATTTACATCATCCAGTAATGAACTAAATAAAGACGTTAATTCCACTGACTGGACTTCGTACATCGTATCTACTATGACCATGAATATGAGCCGAATATTCTATAGTTCCATGTTCCAAAGATGGCTGTTTGTAACAGGTCTGAATATAATGTAAGGTTTAAACTGACATTAGATTACCTATAGTGGACCTAATGTAGACGTTTTTAAGGTATACATTTTATTGTTGTTTGGTAATCAATTGTTTGAAAAACTTTTTTTTTATAAAGGTACCAGTTATCAAATGTTAGTTCTACATAAAACTTTTATTAACCATTTAATTTGTAAGAGTTGACTTATAAACAATAAATAACTTATACAACGACTCGAACTACGACTGAACTAAACCAAAACTAACTAAAGCATACCTAGATGTCTTAGAATCAGCTCTTGCCACAATGTCTGAGATGATTCTGGAATGCTTATAGTTTTATAAGTTACCAAAAAGGAATTTATAAAAACCTTCCCAATAGCCATAAAACTAAAAGTATCAAGAAAGCCTATTGAAAATGCGAAATGTCAATGTAATCATAACCCCACTTTTCAGTTTGTTGTTTATTTATTTGTTCTTGACGGAGAAGAAAGAAATGTACTTAATTTTTAATAATTATTTTAATAAAGTGTAGAATTAAACTACACATGCACACAGAAATGTCTTTGATGATCGTTCCAAGTGCATGGAAGTCCAGGCTGCATAATGGTTGTAGAATATTTAGTATATTTAATAAGTTTTCTTTAAAAAAATTTGAAGTAACCAAAACCAAGGTAGATAAAGATTAGATAAACTGAAATGTTTTGGATGCAATATTATACAAGCTAAAGTGTTTTGGTTTTTATTAGAGTTACAAAATTCGATGGAAAAAATGTAAACAAACCAACAGGACGTATACAATTATAGTTTAACAATTAATAATCAATGATCATTTTATAATTATATGATATATATTCTGTCAAAATAAACAAAATTGTATTTAATTCGATGTATGAAAAAAACGAAAAAAAAATAGAACTAATTCAATGAACGAACAATGTTATTAATATCGATATCATATCATCGTATCATATCTCATGGAAACAGCCATGAACATAATATGTATTTAAAATGGGCGAAGACATTCACCGACCTTCCAAACCAAAAGCATATAGTGGTGAAATTCGCAGCAGCAACAACAGAAATTGTGTTTTTTATTTCTTCATGTGGATTAATCTACAAAACTCAATCACACATCTCAAACACTAATATCAGTCACATTTAGTTTACAAAAAAAAAGTTTATTAATATTATATACACGTATATATAATATGTTCTGTAAATTTAAAATGAGATTTAGTTATTTTCAAAAATTGAATAATATTTATATTCCTTACATTGTAAATTTACTCTTTTTTTGTAGTTATGTAGGGCGTAGTTATGAATAAACTGGAAGACCTCGAAAGTGGTAAGGATTAGGATACAGAAAACGCAATAAACTTTTCACACGACTTAATAGTGGTTGAGAATTTCCTGTAAATATCAAGAAAAGAAAAATTGTATACTGGGGCTATGCAACACAACATACCAGATTTTGCAGTTAATGACCCGTAAGGGCGAAGAAGATGTGTTGATATGTTAAAAGAAAAATTTTGAATTGCTTAAAAATCATTTTTAAAAAATTATTATTATGTTTAGTAATTTATTATACTAGTAGAAATATGTATTTAGTTAATCCAGAGAAGCTTATACGGTAGAGCGGATAGGTTCATGGAAAATAAATTTAAAATTCAATTAATTGCAATTTATCACGTGCTACTGCTTTGCTCCCTTAACGCGTTGCATTATCTACTGTGTATCGAATTTAAATTATGCTTTTGAATAAAGCCAGATAGAAATAAAATTTCCGCTAAATAAATTAATGAAAATTCGACGACATAATTGGAGTAATTTCGGACAAACAATACGCCAAAAGTCGTGATATACACGTGTATAGAGTTAATTTCGCATTCTACATTTCAATAGATACGAAAACAAGGTGGCTAATTCGCAAAACCGGAACACCGGAACGCGTCGTTGACATTTAAGCCAAACGGAAATGATTCGACTGACATCCTTCAAATAGTTTTTACAGGGTGGGTCGACAACACGCACGGCAAGATAAAAGAAAGAAAAAGCTTGGTTATTCTTTACTAAGAGTTTTGCTTGAACGCGAAATACAACCATCAGACATAAAATTTATTGAGCAATATGCAAGGTTTTTCAAAAAATATGAATTTTGTGAGAGAATGAAATACCTTTATTTTTGAAAATATATAAATATGTAAATTAAAACTTATTTGAGTTACCATCATCATCATTTACCTTTTTGACATAATTGATTGTTTGGGAATGATAACTACAGAAGTGTGTCAGGAATTCACTGCAGATATGATCAAGAATGTATCAAGGGATTTAGTTGATGGCGGAGATATTGAGCTTTTAGTAGTCAACAGTTAGGAAGCAAATCCCATAGAACACCTATAGGATGAATTAACGGAACGTCTGTAAAAGAAAAAAATGTCAGATATCCTGGAACATCAAATGATTTACTTCACAAATGGATGCAGAAACCTCAAAGAAGGATTAACTATTTAATCAGGAACATATACGAGCATACCCGTTTCTCTGTTTTTAACAATGCTTAGTTCCAGAATATAGCATACTTATTGTGTGGTATAGGGCATAATTCCGTTGTTATATTTTTTTTTGTAAAATACTGAATATTTTAATTATAAGTAAATTTACCATCGCCATTTTTTGTATTATCTCCTTAAAGATTACGAAAAGTCTGATCGAATTAAATATCTAGATTATTATTGTGTCTATAAAATGCAATATCCATGGAATGGTGTATCGAAAACGATAAAAAGTTTCCTGAGAAATTAAAAATTGGCAAAGAGCAAAATTTGCTAACTTAATAACGGTTTCAAAAGATCATTTTGTAGGGACTCTCTGAAAGCGTTTAATAAGTCTTTGAACCCGCGGGAAGCGAAATTTGGGGCGGCAAGTCCGGGAAGCAGATGCTAAGTGTGATAAATCGCACATCCGGAGCAGACTCCGGGTCGCATCTGCCCCAGAAGCGTGTGAAAAACCGGCGAAAGTTTTTAAGAACGTATAAGTCGACTCACTCGGCATTCGTTTCGGGCGTTGGGAGGTCGCCAATCGTCGTCAGGGTCAGAGTCGACCAGTATAACGACCCCAGATACTTCCTCGTGAGGGTTGCGTAGTCACCGGGACGGTAAGGGTATACCCAATCACCCTGGAAATACCACAAATTACAATAATCAAGACCTCCAAGACTAAGTTTCGCATTATCTCTATATCTATTCCACTAAAAATATATAGGGTGCCTAGTAAAGTACGTTAACAATGGCTTCTTACGGGTAGACCAAAATAATTCGAATCGGCCATGTTTAATGTAGCCCACAAGTCAGATCATTTTCTTTTTGGTCTCAAAATGAAGATATTATGATCAATGCTTTTTAATATCAAAATTTTTAATAAACCAAACATAGCTGAATCGAAATACTTCGACCAGATAATAGACATTCCTAGACACCCTATGCGAACTACCATGACTTGACAGTCATGATAAGAGGTGTATCCTACTTCCTGATAAACATAAAGATTTCAAATAAATATATTTGTTTATTTATTTCATTTATTTCCTGGTAAAGCCCATCTAAGAATTGCAACAGAGCGTATTGATATTTAAAAATAAGAATGAATGAAGATCCAAGAACAATCTACTCCCTACATTTTTTCTGAATGTTTTTCATATATTAACTGTTTTTTCGCATTTTTTAATGCAATACAGATTTTTATTATTTCATTTATTTAATTAATCATACTTCAAATAGTTTGAGCTGAAATAATTTCGTTTTTACTTATACCATTCGCATATCATTTTAACTTACAATTTGTTTTGTTTTTAAACAGTTTTTTGTATTCTTTCATAAAATCGCCGAACTGCAATCGAGAAAGTGTCGTACCTGAAATCCTTCTGCCTCCGATAAAAGAAAGTAGAAACAGCCAAACCAGTGCGCCAAAATCAAAAGAATATGGATCAAATTGACGACTCGCCATAAATTTGGCCATATCGTACGAGACTCGACCATATAGTAGTAGTTAACAGCCCTGTATACCTAAAACACCAAAAACATCACACCACAGACCGACATATTTTGATTGTATGTACTTTTAAAAATCTAGGACACCTCAGTAGAGGATTAGGGCCGAACCTGAACTGAAGCAAATCGACTGGACACAGAGCGGTGAGATCCAGCAAAAAGGCACGTGAGCGAAGATAATGACAGGCCAATTTTTTAGAATCATAGACCATCAATCCTACAACATCAATTCGGTCGATTTCAGTCGTAAACATTTTCAACACTCACCTTGTTCTAAATAACCAGTCCTAAACTGTACAGCCAAATCTAATACAAAAACCAAGTCACTTATAGAATCACAGGTGAGCCAAAATGTGGAAATCATTTCCTGTAAAAAAAATCAAATTCGAATCATGGTCTCTTGAGCTTACGGAAGAAACACACCCGCGTCCGTCAGTCTGCAATTTACATTAACTTACCTGGAGCTCGGGAAAACTCTGTCTAACAATTAAAGTCCATAAATTATACAACACACAAATGGTCAACACAAACAGCCAGTAAAAATAAAAATTGGAGTCCGGATTCACTACTGTCCGGGGTTGTCGCAGTTTTCTTCGTCTTCTTCTTTGCGCTGACCGATTATCCCCTGCAAGAAAATACAACCACGGTTAGGGTAAAAAACGACCAGCAAGCAATTAACTGACCCGCTGCACCTTCGCTGCCTGTATCCTCCACGGTTTCTTGTGCCTCCGGGATCTGCCTGGACGAGAAGCGTTTCAAAAAAGAATCTTCCCTCTTCAAGGGGGGTTTCTGAAACATGCGATTTGAAAATAAAACAACAAAGATCCTACTGTGTATCACCTTTGCCGATATTGCCGAAGAGATTTGAACTGTGGTCCGGAGTTTCATCCATCGCTGATTTGATTTCGTCCTGCAAATAAGAAAAAACCGGATCAGCAGCATGAAATTTGCTTGCGCGAAATTCATGATGCAAAAATACCACCATCGTTACACAATGACATTCCTAGTAAGAACATTTAGTTACAAGATACTGGTACAGTTTAATTCCACACAGAAGAGTCTAGTAGGGTAAGATTGAGTCGATTGAAATGATATCACCGGGTGTTACCATTCCAATCAGAGGTTGAAATTCGATTACTAAGTGCTCGAGAAAAGAGGAATCACAGAAGAGAAGTAATAATTTCTTGTGTTGCGAGTACTGGAACTTTCAAAGTTGTATTTTGCAAAATTCCCGAAGGACCAGTTTAAATTTCTCATCGGAGAAATTCGATAGGCTCCTGTCATCAATCTCTAAACACTAGTGAATTAGTAACACATTCACATTCTAACGCTATGGATACTTATCTACTTCATCAACATGCAAAATACAACTTTCTAAGGAACCACTATAAACTAAACTATACATGGAGTTTTCTTATATACAGTATGGTTTGGAATTTCGGAAAACATGCTCGATTACTCTTATTCCGTTTATAGCAGTTCGTTCGTTGATCACGAGACACCGCACAACAACAAGAAAATAACAGGTACATCTATCTAGAGACAAGTCTGTTTGTGAAGGTTTTATAGAGTCAGTAACAATAGACAAGTACTTATATAGAGACAGGCCATCAAAAACCAATGCACCACCAACCTAAGGGGAAAGTAACGGCCTATAAATACTGTATTGTACATTGTTTTTATATATCTGTCTTATAGCGGAGTTTCCACAATTCGGTGGTCTACGACTGTCACCAATTGATTATTTCCACCCGATAGCGTTTTATAATATAACTAGCACTTTAAGACAGATAGGATAGTAAATGTATAAATATAAATAATATTTAGACGAACAAATTGAAAAACCTCTTGATTTTACGCAGGGTATGATAGTAGGCCATGACTGCTCGTAAATTTCTCCAACTCTGCGTTGCGGGTTTCGCATTCGCCTTGTCGCCTGATAGTTTTTCATAGCTGAAAAGAGTTTAGCGCTAGCACTTTGAATAATCTACATTTAACATTGTTTAAAATACGCGAACGTTTTGGCGGGAAAAAATTATCCGCCATATGCGAACCCGAAAACGCACCGTAACGTATTGATAAAGTCTCCGAAACGTGATGGCGCGGCTTGGATAATATATCGGAAAGACCGCAGCTTCGTGCTGCAGCACTCAGCTAATTAATGCTTTGTATCAAAGTGTTCGGTTGCGAAACATTATCTCTCGATCGTTATAAAGCGCACAGGCAAATGTTGGGCCTACATGTTTAACTGAACCAAGTGATCTGTGTCGATACGATGCGAAAAATAATTAGAGAACGAGACGGACGTAATACGGACAAATGAACCGAGTACGTCGCGGGGTTGGCTAATCTGGTTGCATTCTCTGTTCTTTAACATCGTTATCGAGCTGGAATTGGGTGACATTAATTCCTCCTACAGGCAATTAAGTTCAATGCAGGTGGGAATGCAAAACCTTGTATTAGAATGTGCGTAGTATAATAATGTGGCTACGCGAACAAGCAAGGCGTTATTTACCTAAATATCTCTATTAGTCTAAAGTGCGCAAGTTCCTGTAGGTTATGGTCATGACTATTGATGGGACATTAGTATGATTAACAATTAATGACCTACCACGTAATTTTTAACAGAAAATCAAACAGTTCCATTTTAGTGTGGCGTGTCTCGAACTGTTATCGCGTTGAAACTGAAAGAACCTGGGTTAGTTGCTGAAAATATTTATATTATTTACTATAAGGGCTGTTTCTTTAAAAATGCGGAATGTGTTCCAGTTGTTTCGCTCTTTATAGAGGGTTTTTTACAGAACGTTTAATCTCTCCACTATACGACTCACAAAGTACTTTATAAATGCACTTTCTGAATTATTCTTTATATTTAACGTCTAGTTTTGGTTAAGGCCCTTCTCAACGTAGCTATTGAGGTGAAAACTCGGTCGCGGAGGACAGCTCAAATTAGTCTTCGCATTAGTTTAGTTTATGCGTGATAATGGAGAGTAATTTATCTGTCCGAATCGATTTCGTTGAGTAAGTTCAAAATTCTTTTTAGTTACAGCTAATACAATCAGTAATGCAATGTCAGTTTTTTGAGTTTTTTTCATTCCTTTAAAGATATAGTCTTAAATATTCCGTTTTTTTCTTCTTATCCTTAAATGAAACACTTCAAGGAAAGACTTTATTCAAAGAATACGTCAGTTTGATTTTGAATTCACTATAATAATAATAATAATAATAATATTTTGTTACATATTATAACAAAGTGAAATGACGTCAAACATAAGTCTGTCACAAATAAATTAACTAGCCTATTACATATTACATATTAAGACAATAAGGTTCTAACTGGATTAACAACTGTTTAATTTTCGTCTTGAACAAACGTTGACTCTCAATCCGTTTAATATGCAGTGGTAACTTATTGTAAAGCTTAACAACACACATATATTTCGGGCCTATTTCAGTAATTTGAAGGCCGTGTATCGGGTAGTTAAAACTGTCCGCCCTGGTTTCTGTATAATTATTTCTTAAATGGTGAAAAAGGTTTAAATATTTACGTAAAAGCATTAGATATTCAAAGATGTACAAGACGTGCACCGTCAGAATTCCCATCTCTCTAAAGACATTTCGATAAGATTAAATTCTGTCCATTTTCATTAAAACTCTAATTGTTCTTTTCTGTGATATGAATATATCTTGTGTTCTACTGTGACGCCCCCAGGATATATTCGATATTTAAGTACAGATTCGAACTTTGCAAAATAAACTATTTTTAAGGTTTTATTATCTAAATACTTGTCAAGAACTCTAATTCCATAACATATATTTTGTTTAGTAAGTGATTTATATGAAATGTCCAGTTCAAATTTGCGTCGACAAAAAAGCCCAAAAACTTGACACTTTCCGAAACGTCGAATGAATTCTCCGCGATTTCTAGTTTTGTTATATTTTCTAATTTTAATTTTTTTGTTTTGAAGATTATTACGTTCGTTTTATTTGTATTAAATATTAGTTTATTTTGATTAAACCATTGTTTTACCTGTACGAACAAACTACCGCTATCGCTTAACAATTGTACCATGTTTTTGGTGCCAGTTATCAAATTTGTGTCGTGCGCATAATTAAGTATTGTGTGACAGAGGTGTTCTGCTTCGTTATACAGATCATTTATGAAAAGGACAAACAAAAGTGGCCCTAAAATACTACCCGGGACGATTCCATATTCGCTAGTTAGAATGTCGAATTTGTCGTAAGTTTGCTTCATGGGAACTAACGATTTCGCTGGTTTAATAAATAAAGTAAACCGATAACTTCAAATGCTGTTAAAGCAATTTAAAAATATTCACATCTTGAAAGAAGATTCGCAAAAAGCACGCCAAAGAAAATTCCTCTTCGTAAAAATAACATAGAATTTATTCTAGTGTAACTACAGTTTCTCTGCGAGCTTGTTAATATTTACTAGACCTCGAGAAACTTAGAACCAGATGAGTTTTGTCGGGCACTTTCTGGCGACAAAGTTTGTTTAATTTAGAAACGTAGGAATCGACCTAAATATACAAACCTCGTTTTAGTGCTCCGGTGAAACGTAGTTGTGTATTTATTTTTATGTTAAAAAGTAACGCGAAGCCTGAACATAGTAACTAATAGTTGTCCAGCCAACATTTATTCTAACCACAGATGAGTGAGAAAATTATTAGAGATCTGAGGTTGTCAGATTTCAGCGTAATGTATTTCCGTTTAGACTTAGAAATATTATAATAAACTATTATCACATTAAAAAATATATATTTGAGCTGGACTTGACGCATCAAACATCTTTTACCACATATTTGAATTTATTTGCACAGTGCAACCCTTTCACTGTAATGAGCCAATTGTAATCAAATTTTATGGGCATTGCTAGGCGATTGGACAATTTATGACTAGGAATATATATGAAAATTAATTCTAACATTCAATACATGGTTAAAAATGATAAGAGTGACACGAAAAAGTTGAAAACAACATTGTTATAAGAATTTAGTTTTGCAATTTTAATATCTGCAAGCACGTGCAATACTGTAGTTTAGGTAAGAATGAACTTTATGGAAATAAATTACCTTAATCCCCACATTAAGTAGGAATGGCTGGATTTTTTTTTAATATGACCTACGTGCTCCACCCAGGTTGGGTGAAAATGAAAATAAACGCATAGAAATTTAGGTATGTACACTACCCAGACGAATTCACTTATTCAGTTTCAGTAAAGGCGCTAAAAGATATTTAATAATGGGGTTTTGTTTCTGATATCAGAACCAAAAACACCATCGTCATCGAAAAGAGAGACCCTTTTTGTTGGATTTTCTTTTATGAGAAGATTGTAGAAAATTGAAAATCCGTTAAATCAATCATGTGACAATTGACAACTAGATGATTGGTATTCATATTACACAGTAAAACATAAATTAAATTTCCTCTAGTCAGCCCCTCCACAAAGTCGTGGGTTATCAAGAAGACTAGAGTAAAAAGATATATCAAAATAAAATCAAAATTAGTTAAAAGTTTGATTGCGTTAGTACTATAGCTAACTAAAGGATAGTATGACCATCCCTCTATCAAACTCATTAAAATTAAAAAATATTTTGCAAACTATATCAGAAATCAATTTCGTGAAATAATGAACTCATTAGGAGCTCAAAGAGTGAGTAAGAAAGAATAATTGATTTAATTGATTGAATTATCCTATTGTAGATTTTTTTTTAGCAACTAGCAGGGCAACATACGAATGATACGGAGTTCAATAGACGGCTGGTCCTAACACGCGGCCTTTAACACTCGCTTACTACTCTTAATCTTCCGCTCTTAGTGATACTTATTTCTTCAATGAGCCTTCAACTAATCCTAGATTGACACAGAACCGTTAGCAATAGGGGAAAGTGA